TAAGGGTGTAAATATATTGCAAGAATGTGTGTTTTATATTATGAATGTTAACTTTTTATCTGACATAGCATTGAACTGTAGCATTTGACAGAAACATGCGAAGTTTTAGATGTGTGACGAAACTTTTTAACTCGGTACATGCGTAAGCTGATTAATCTTGTGTACTAATTTGAGATACGTATATATTATAATATATTGTATTATGTTGTTATAGTTATGGCTTTCCGAAGAAAAACCCGGAATTGGAAGCCAACTCAACATTAACTAGGTCATATCAGGACATGCATATAGCAAATTTATGTTTCGGCTCAGGAACCTTTAGATGTTAGATGGAAATTGTAAAACACCTTTTTGCCAATCTAAGTGTGGGATCGAACCTAGCACTCATATACATAAGCGGACGTTACATCACACGGCCACGCAACAAGACCATAATAATATTATAAGATAGTAATCTTCAAATCAGAAATGCCCCTTCCTGTTTGCTGGTTAAGCTCATTGCTTTCAACACCACAAATAAAAAGGATTACCAAATTTGTACATGCTCTCCAATAAAAATTTTACGTTTAGCCTTTGTAACCTTAGTCTGTGGTTTTCTCGACTCCTCCCATTTGGAAATGCCACCATTGTCGTGTGATTAAGCTCACTCTCTTCACCACCGAAAATGATAGGGCCTTTCCAAATGGGAGCATAGTTGTTACCCAAAAACACATATATTTTTATTCTAATAAACTCTACAGGCGGTTTCACGACCCGTCCAATATAGAAGGCCTCCATTGTTGTCTTGTACGAGAGAGGCGTAAAACGGAAACGGACATTCTTTTTTGTTGGAGATAAACGTCTGGCTATGTGCCTCGAAAACATTGGAATGGTTTATGTCTGATTGAATAGTTTGCCTACTATAGTTAATTAGTGCAGCCATATTGGTTACTAATCTGAGAAAACCACGCGACATCACGTGGCAATGTTTACACTTTCGTGGCTAAAACAGCCTTCAATAAAAAGGGGAATAAATAAAATTGTGAAAACTGTAAAATTTCTTGATTTATTTATGAACAACACCATCCTTTAAAAAATGTTTTAGCGAACAAACTAGCCTTAAGTGCATCTTTCGCACCATTAATATCATCAATTCGTGGCTAATTTGTTCCACTTACGTTTTATTTTTTGTTGAATGGCACGAAGCAACCCACTTTTGCTCCATATAGCCAGGAATGTAATATTAAAATTTGATATGGGAATTTTTAAATAACTTATGCATAACATTTATGTTTTTTAAATTCGTGGTAATTTGCACTAAACAATGATCGTTTTTCATAACACAGCCATTTAGGAATAATCAAGTGGGCGAGTCGAATTTTGAGAATGTGTGAATTTGTAGTGCAATATCGTGTGTCTGTATTTGTGTTCGACATTATGACGAATGCAATGTTGACAATGACTAATCCACCATCAAAGACAAAGTTTCTGATCATTTTTAGAACCAAAACATCGTATACAGTCTTAATAATATTTAATTGAATGAGTTGTCAATTATAACAAAACAAATATGCAAAGAAAGCTGTCCCCTCTTTAATGCCACAGAAAACACAAGGCATGATTTTAAGTTTGTTCCTTGAGAAGAGGTAATGTTTTGAACACAAAGTCAGTGGATTTTAGCCGCTATCCTGGCAGATAGTCTTTGGGCTTTACGTCCATTTCTACCGAGGGCGATATCGCTCACAAGATTGGGTTAGTCTGGCCATACTGAATTAACTGTAACCTATGTGGCCTTAGCCTCAGTTGCTTAACTTTTGTAGCCGGTCCACAGAATTAAAATGACCGTGTGATAAGATCCTACATGTAGACTTCATTGATTTCATTTTGATATGTTTAAAGGGATCTTGCCGAATTTGATGACCATATGTTAGTTCACGGAAGATTACAGTACAGTGAAAACACTGTTGCTGTGTCTATTTAGTATCAAAAGATATCGGCAAAAGAAATAATTTGAGTAAATTTGGCACTAATTTCACTTTTGAAAATATGAAGTAATGGAGGTATATCTATGTACGTCATAGAGGTAGTAAAGTTATTGCAATTAACCAAATACTGAAATAGGTTTCAATTTGATTTACGATTTTATTTACAGCCCACAAGTGTAATAACCGGCAATATTTCTTGAATCTATTGGCTTAAAATGTATTCCACGGTTATCACGAATGGGATTCATACTGACACAATTTGAATTTTTTAGGAAACATCTTTGAGTCATTCCGACATTGTTGAGGAATCTCGGTTGATTGGTGAATGTATATATAAGTGGATGTATAAAGATTACCAGCAATATTTAGAGGAGGCTAAAAGTCACACTAGATGTTAATTGATGATATATTTATATGGTGATCATCATGCTTATTATGATTTATAGCCTGCTAGAGTGTAGAGAATACTTTAATAGAGAGCTTACTGACCCACTACAACAAATTCCTATACAGTGTATTGTACAAATACTTATAAGCTACCGATGGTAATTTGCATTTTTCGGACAATATTGGATTAGAAACAAAAGATTTTACGCAACACTTATAGCGTACGTAACTAACGTACGAAAATTAAATGGTAGCTGACTTTTTTTTTCGCACGTATACAGTGAATGGCCATTTTGCTCAGTAATCCCAGCCAGAATTTGGCTATTTTTTTAAAATTGCGTTAAGGTTTTAAATTTTTATTTAGAACTGAATAAATTAACTTTTTGTCAATCCCCACGCTAAAAACATTAACAGAATTGATTGTGTATATCTGAAATAGACACGACCGAAGCACAAAATAGTGCCAATATGCCGACGTCAAATCTAGAGTTGTGATGATGTTATTTTTGTGAAAAATCATTGGAAAAAGCGATAAGACGTTCTGTACGGATTATACAGTCCTAAAGGCTGCAAGAAGGCTATTGTTTAAAATGTAACATTGTGTCTTGTAATGTTGATAATGATCATAATGATGGTGTTTACATTTGTTTGTTGATGTGACCTCATGACCTGTGACGTTTAGATAACGTCATATGGATATCATAGCTATTCACTGTGTCAGAGTCACTTCTCTGCAGGTAGGGTGAGTCTGTCGTTCAGATTGCACTTATAGGTGACGCTGCAGAGGACGTCAAATGTTGGGACAGTTTCAGTTCATCCTATCTTTGGACCAATTTTGGACTGATATCCCTCTTAGAGATTAAACTTGCACAATATTGTAGTTTGCAAGAGATTTGAAATCTTTTAAATGTGTATAGATGCTTTAATGACTGAAATTATATTAGTACGGTCGTTAAAGGCGGGGTTACATATATTTATTAACTACAACTGGAGAGAGAGAGAGCCGGGGGGTTAACGTCCACTCGACACAAACCTAGGTCATTTCGGGATTAACATTTGGTTTAAGTTTATTTCAATTATAATTCTTTTGTGCGTAGGGGTCTTTTGCAGGGGCAGGAAACCACGAGGTTGGACAGGCGATCCTACCCCTTATCACGTACAAGCGGGGAATCGAAACCACGTCAATTGACTCAATAACAGACCTTCTGATCCGAAGCGCACGCGTTAACCATTTGGCCACCCATGCCCGCCCAACCCCCCTACAACTGAAGACTGGATCTTCAAGTAGCTAAGTCTCTAACTCAATATCATCAAAAATCTTCGACATTGAAAACACGAATTATTTGTCAATTCAAATCAACATTGGTCTTGTGATCTTACAGGGACAAGATGGGCTTCTGATATCCAATATTCAAAACAAAATAAACATTTTACCATTGGTACACGAATCGTGTACCATAATGCGTTTCATCGCCATTTGGAACAAGGGACTAAAAAAACCAGGCTAGACATATTCCACAAGTCATGTCAAATGGTGACTCTATATTCTTAAGTGGAGAGCATGCACAATAAATATCATCGGTGTAGACTGGAAAAACCAGACGCTAAAGATTGTCATTTAATTGAAACTATGGGGCATTTCGCCGAACATAACTGATTAGAAATTACAGTAAAAACAGAAACGATTGAATGTAAATCAGTTTATATACATTTATATTACATTACTATATGCGTTGCGACCCATTTGTGTCAATTTCTATGTCCCAAATATTAGTGATTTAGCTCCTTTAAAGTTCTGCTCCACCAGATAATAGGGGGCTGTAAATTTTCAACAAAGATTCAGCTATATAATTGTCCAATTGAGAGGGTGGTATGAGGTGTTAGACTAAGAATAGGCATGTATTATCCAGCACTATCCAATATCTTCTCATTGTTTGGCACCCCACTTTGATCTCGGTCCAAATTAAAAGTGTATGAAGTTGATATTAGTGTCTTGTAAATGCTACAAAAGATTAAGTATTGTCGACTGCACGGCTTATTTAGCTGTCGCGGGCGTGTGTAACGTTGCCTGGGAACCTATCTTAATATCTTAATTTTTATATGCCCACATTGAAATGTGGTCGTATATGGTCTTGTCCCCGTCCGTTGGTCTGTCGGTCCGGCGTCCTTAGTTGCTTGTGGACGCTCTAGACGAAGAATTCTATTGATTTTCGATGATTTCCGATAATTACCGCCATAGTTAGGGCCCTTGATCACTTTGAAAAATCTTTTGAAGTTACTGTCCGATTGACTTTATATTTATATAGTGTTTAAGGTCGTGAGTCGAAGAAGCCTATCACATTTCAACGATTCCCGATGATTATGGCATATTATGTTAAATGCTTTGTATGCTAGTGTTAGAATAGGGCAGAAATTGGTTGTTAATCGTAAATGACTTGCATCGAGCACATCCCATTATTAATATAAATACTACACCAATTAAATATTTTAATTTCATATGATATCATGCACACATTCATGTTGGAATTATCAACTACGAAATACGAATACTGGCTGATCTACCATACTGTGTATTCCACCGAGTAAATAATTTGTATGCTATACTTAAAATTGTACACATGACTTTAACGGTTATATTATTTATTTCAGCTATAGAACCAAGTTCTGAAGAACCTATTGTAAATGTAACAGTTATAGAAGGTTCAACTGCTGTTTTGCCCTGCTCAATATCACATCTTAGTCACCAAAAGGTTCGTTCAATTACTTAGCATTAAAATTTGCAAAATGAGAAGCCCGAATCTTGTGGAATAGTCTATTGATTAGAAGGTAAACTCGGGGGTAAAACGTTTGGCCGCGTGATCAAGTTCTTACGTTGTTTTGTCGCGTGTGCTCATCCTGAAATGTGTGCAGGCCTTTATCAGTCCAACAGAAGGCCGTCGGTACCGAAAAGTGTCAGCACTGACGAACCTCAGAGTGGTGGCAGTGCGGGATGCTCGCAGTCCGTCAGCGATCCTGCTGATGATGTCGGATAATATATCGGCCTTGAACGATGCTTTGCCGTCCAGACCTTGTTCGGTCACTAATTGATCCAGTCTTAGTCCCTAGAAAGTAATGAGATGGCATCCAAACCTTCTGGTAACGGGTCTGGTACTAATGCCCCATTGAATTAATGCAATGGCGAGTTCTAGGTTGTAGGAGTTGTAGTGACCATAGCTTTTTAAAAGCTACGTGTTGTAGCCCATGTTTACAACATATTATCGTGATTTTTAACATTCTCATTCTGTCGAATTCAAGTTGCATACACTCATATTCCACGGTAGATGCTACAGCTAACGGACGTGAAGCATTGGGTTCGTGAGCGGACGAAGCCTGTCGATTTTCCGAAAATTTTGTTAATGCGTTACAGACTAGAGTTTTTAACTGATTTATTGTTTGAAATATGGCATGAAGAATTTTGGTCACGAGATGGCGAACCCTATCTATTTAAAGAGCTCCCCGAGCCCCCCCCCCCCCCCTGGCGCCTTCGCCAAAAACCGTGTTAAATAGAAAGGGGTTATATTTCTTTTGTCTGCAATATTATCTCAGTGGGACCCGAACGTTAAGCTTTTAACAACAAGCCAAATTTGATATGGATATTTTTTTGTCAAATTCGATGTGAAGAAGTGCGATCGGGAGAGGTCTGTTTTAAGCACTCCGCGATTGTCCTTGCCGGAGTTAACTATCCTTTGTCGAAAATATTGTTAACCCGATAGAAGCTGCATTTTTGTATTGGGGGGGGGGGGGGAACAAACCAAATCGATATTCAGCACCAAATCAATATTCAGCTTTCCATAATCGTCCGTGTCAATGGTTACCCCCCTCACCCCCCCCCCCCCCCCGCCATCTTTGTGTGACTATCGTTTTGTGTGAGGGAGAAATGATTTGTAGTATGGTTACATGATCGCGAAAACATCATTATCACGTGTTATCAACGTGATCAGATTTACAATAACCTATTTATGCACGTAGTGCGTTTTCATGTCATTTTGTTACCTGTCGACCTTTGTTTATTCAGCGTGTATTGAAATGTGATATTGTAGATTGCATGGACGGATCAATGGTCGACCATGTTAGCGTATCAGACAGAACGTATTATAGACGATGATAGGATCAGTATTCATCAACCCTATCCTACTCAGTGGAATCTACAGATACAAGGTGTTAAATATGGAGATCAAGGGATTTATACCTGTCAAGTTAATACTAATCCAATGAAAGAACAAACGGTTGTATTAAACGTTATAGGTAAGAGTATATTGTCATTTCAAAGAAGAGTTTAACTGGGAAAAAAATCCCCATTCCCCTCTTTGTGAAATATTACTATGTGTATATCTGGAAAATACTTAGGACACACCATGCCAATTTCTCATTGTCGTTTTCATAACAGGGGGGAATTATTGCGATTCCTTACAAGAAGATGTCGCTGAGAAGCAGTGGCTGCTCGTGCGAATTCCATGACGTGCTATGGATACCCAATCGACTTCGTGGTTAGACTCACTTGTTTACACAAAACGTAACATGGTGGCATCCGGTAAACAATCTCCGTTATAGCCCATAGCGAAGGATTATTGTCCAGTAGCGTACACGTAGCTACAGAACGACTGGGATGTTATTAGGCCGTAAAATTTGCCGCATAAAATGATTATTGGTCGGCGGTAGAAAACCTCTCAATGTCGTTAATTTAAAAAACCATTTAAAGAAATAAGGTGTCAGGGCTGGGTGAACGTTAAATGACATGAGTTTTGTCAAGCAGATCAATTTTATGACAGCATGTCCAAATGTCTCTGCTTATTTTGCAATTTACAAATTGAGAGTTAATGGAAGAAAATATATGTTAAAGTCGGAATAGATCATCGGACGGTTCGTTATTGATTAGAATGATTTAGAGAAAGCCGGGTTACTGCATTTTTCTTTGAAATCTAATACAAAATGAATTGTCTTCACCTGGCATGTGGCCTCAAAACCTGTAGTATCCGTCATTCCAGCCTACGCCGTATCCGCGTTGCCGGGAACGAATGTAATCTGAACCTAATAGCATCTACTGTGTATGAAGTACTAGAATTTCGTTATGACTTTTGATACTGAATGCAAAGTTGGTGCTAATTTGTCCAGACTATATTCCCTGTAGTTGAAGCAAAGACAATATAAGCCGGGGTGATCGAGACAAAACAACCTGTCACTTCACGCCAATCTCGCATCCACATGATTTAAAGGAAATAAATTTAATTGCGTGCGAATATCAGATTAGTTTTCTTATATGACAACGGCACGCATTTGTCTTCATTAGGAAGCAGTACCAGTTAATCATTCAATAAATCGGCACAGTTATGCTAAAAAATATGTAGCCAGACTAACTTTAATTACACCGACTTTCGTTCCGTTATATTGTTCGGTTGTTTAATCTTAATTACCAAAATAAACGGAACGAAAATTCAACTTTTGGCATTCTTTTGTCAAGTATGTTTCTCAGCGGTGGAAACTGTTGGGCAGAAAATGCTTGGAAATTGTGTTTCGTGTACAAATTCGTGGTATATGTAACGTAAATTATTTCTAGGTAGCTGGATTTCCCATTCCACACCTACGCTTAAAGATAAATGTTTGTCTCAAAGTAACCCAAGTAAATTGTTGACGAGACGATAAGCTCGATTCCATTTCAGAATGGGCCTATATTTTGAGAGCAATCGGTAGGCGGTGGGGATATCAAAATATCTAATAATCTGTTTAATTTGGAAAATCGGCATGAAATGGATTAATCAATCAATCAGCAATTTTGTTTTTGTAACCTGCACATAGAGACAACGCCCAACATTACGTAACGTGATCTAATCCCTTTCCCAGCCTCCCTGACTACATAACAAAATTACACGTAATACACTGTTTCATCCTAGAACTACTCATTTAGCATGAACTTGGTAAGCTTCAAAACCCGAATCTCTATTTAAATCAACCAGATTTCTTTGTCTCTCGAAACTGTTAATTCGGGTTCTGTGTAACACTATCTTAGTGATAACAGAAATCAGTTTAGTAAATACATTATTTATTTACATCGGGAACAGGAACATACATACACGGAAATATATATCAAACAGGAACTAAACTACATCATGAATATAAACGAAAACATTAACATGGTACATTAAGACAACTATTCTGCCCATTTGCTTCGGCAGTGGCTGAACTCGGATGAGCCCATTCGCCGGTCTCTGTTCCTCCCCGCTCGTCTCTCTTCTGCATCTTTTCGCCCCCCGCTTGTCTGTCTTCCGTGTCTCTTCTCTGTCAGTAAACTGGTGGTTATAAACTTTTCAACTGGGTCTACACACACGAGATCAATACTATATATATGGTATTTACAAGTTATCTAAAATTCGCTGACTGATTAAATAATATACTTTTGGAATTGCTAGTCTTTAGTGCGTAGGTGTTTAAAACAAAGTGTATAATTTGAAAAGCCGATATCATTCAAATCCAGCTGAGGGTCAATAAGTTCTATGCACCTATATGATCGTTCCATTTGATGAAAGTTATAAGTATAATGTATTATAAGGTCCATGGTCACACATGGCTTGTCACGGACTAATATTTTATTCCGAACAATAAAAATCTTGTACATTTCTTTCTTTTTGATTGGACAATGCGGAGTTGAACTCAATTCGGCTGTGGTTTCAATCCAGAATTTTGTAGAATTTATTCTGGTTTCTAGCGTATGTCATCGCATAAATGATTGTGCCATGAAATTACTATAAACCACAAATCGTGCATTTAGCATACACAAAATGCTCAAAAACATTTGACTGTCAAAATAATTGTAAAGCAAAACAAGCAAAAGATAGATTACAACATTGTATGACAGTAGTATGCGCAACATACATGTTAATTGTATTATTGTTATTTTTCAGTCCAGTTTTAATAATGTTATACACTAAGATAAACACAAGAATTCTATGGATAAACAATTACTGTATTTAATCGGAGCTACATTTCAACACTGATTCTTTGTCGTTGTGCTTGCAAACTACAATGAAATGAAATGGGGTTTAACGTCCTACTGTGCTGCTCCTAACCTGGGCTAATGTAGTAATGAAGACGGGCATACGCCATTCAGTGTGCTTTGAGGGAAATTTTGCCCGGGCAACGGCGCTACGGCCTACTCTTATATCGAATTCCAACTGCCAAGCGATCTTTTACGTGCACGCCAATGTGTACACGGGACCTCGGTTTTTCATCCCATCCGAATGACTAGACAACTGTCCTTGTCAGAGAACTACAATAGAATCATTGTTGAAACGTAGCCCCGGTTAAATACAGTAATTGCTTATCCATAGAACTCTTGTGTTTATTTTAATGTGTTCAATTACTAAATGCCATTAAAACAATGTTGTGCACGGTTTACATTTCAGTTCCACCAAGAATCATCGGTACATACACACCGAGTCATATAGTCACAAAAGAAGGTCGATCCGTGTCACTGATTTGTAACGTGACCGGAATACCACGCCCTACTGTCACCTGGTATCGGAAGCCATCCAGTGAGGGCCAGGATAAAGAGCGTGAGTTACAGTCATGTCTGATAAGATCTAGTAAGATGTCGAGCTTATTCCTCCTTAGTTTCATGTTTTGAAATCGTCCATTGGCATAAGTTGCATTGTGTTCTGGTTTACTTTGTTTATAGTCTCAATCCCTCCAGCCTAACATATCTCCCCTTGGACCGCAAGGAATATTGGTCTGGATAAAGCAGTGTCCATTGTGTATATGGTAATTGTCTCTCTGTCTCAATGAATTTTGTACGAAATATTGTCGCCGTCCACAAGTTGACAATACATTCTGTGTGCGTCAAACGCAAGGTGAAAACGTACTGAAATTTCCATTTTATATTTACTACTGTATAGAAAGTGGATACTGCTTAATCGATACCAATATTCGTTGTCGCAGAAGGTGGGGCAATTTACGCTTAGGTCCCACTGGTCATATTTTGCCCCGGAGATGTACTACAGATGGAAATTTATGATCCTTGTGAGGCGTCGGGAACAGGTTCCACGGCGTCAAAGGGAAACTCCGGGGGCATCGCGAGTCACGTGGAACTACATCGACAGAACTGCGAAACAAATTTTTAAGCTTGCATTTTCGGGAAACAGGCTCATCAGTTTCCATCGGCAATACGTCACCGAGGTAAAATTTGATCAGTGAGACTTAGGCTGGGACGATTGAGACTTTGTTTTATTAATTAATTTACATATTACTCTTACTTTTGTTTTTTGCTCGAAATGCTCTGTTAAATGAAACGAATAATTGTTTATGTTTGTTTGAATCGTTTTGATTTTAACGTTTTTCTTTTGGGCTAATCATAAGTTCACTCACACTTTATTTTATAATTACAAACTAACCCCATTTTAACTTACATTTTACCTGTTTAGTAGTTTTTATTAATTAATTTTTACAGCTTATATAACGCGCGGATCTCTTTAAAAGAAAGATTAAGCACTGCCTAGAACCATTAATTTAATTTGATGACGCTTTTTTCTACTTCGTAATCTATACAGCGGATGCACCTGAATTAGTTATTTAGGGACATTTTTCCACCTTCGATTGATTGGATAATATCAACTGGGCATCAACCCAATCCACGCGTTTCGTTCATAGTGTAGATTGTTGAGGTGGTGATGGTTGATTGATTGATTGAGTCGTCAATTATTTTGTGAAGTAATAAACAAAAGGGGGAGGGTGATTGGATCGATTATTTCGTCCACTCATATATATCGTATTAATAGGGCTAGATTGACATGGCCGTGAGAAAATAAGTAAGAGGAGGTGTGTGTGTGGGGCGGGGCGGGGGGGGGGGGGTGATTGCATCCATTAGTTTGTCCACTCATATATAAAATACCAATAGTGCTAGATCGACCATGAGAGAATAACTAAGAAGTAAGGTTCGAGGTTTCTTCGACTAAGTGTCTGGAAAAAGGTCTCTGATAGCACACTGTACAGCGTAAACCCGTCCTTCTTAGCGCAGTCAGTTCTGAAAAGTTGGACGTTATAAACCACATTACATTTCATTTCTTCGACTATTGTTTCGTAATTTTTTTATTGCCAGGACGATACATTAACGAGCGTGCCTATTCGAGAGGCCAATAGATACCAAAATAGAAAAATGATATCTTTAAATCTTCATGATTAAGTTTCTTTTAGAGTTAATTTCATTTTGAAACCACTAACTACCTCATTAACTCTGCTTCAATATGTCTCATTTTAATTAGCAATTTAAAATAGTTTGGATATTGGGCGAGATGATGTTCTTAAAACCGAATTATGATGAAAAACTTAAAATGACATAAATTCAGATTTTTAGTGTAAAAATCTCCAAATTGAAGACATGGCTGCTATTATTACTGGAATGATTAAATATCTATTATTATACATTGTCTTTTTAAACTTGAAAGAGGAATGCCAGTTTGTAGTGCTTCTCAAAGTACACAACTCAAAAATATACAATTTCAGCCCAAATATGACCAGTTTGCAAATGGTCACTAAAACAGTTTATATCTTTTTAAACTTGAAAGAGGAGTGGCAGTTTGTATTGGTTCTCAAAGTACACAACTCAAAAATATACAATTTCAGCCCAAATATGACCAGTTTGCAAATGGTCACTAAAACAGTTTATATCTATTACCTAACTCGTTTAAAACGGTCGTCTTCATTAGCCCAGTAGATACAGAATAGTAGGACGTTAAACCCCATTTCATTTCAGTTTTTACATAGCTTGTCTCTAAATATTTGTTCCATTAAATGACCTGATCAACGCAACTGGTTGATGCGGCCAGTAAAACTGTGCCAAAAGGTAATTGATGAAGCAATACCCTGGAGATGTCAGAACTTGCTGCCTCCCCCAGCCTCCAACAAAAACAAAAAAAGCGGAAGTTGTCGCTGCGCACGCGTCTTTATTATCGACAGGTTTATTTCTTATTTATGCACTGAAATACATTTGACTTTAAGATAGTCGTTTTCGTATTAAACCCAACACTGTTTCTTTTTATTTTTATTTTATCCCGGTCCCTTTTATCAATGTTAAATTTCACCCGGTTTTTTTTTGTTTTTTTTTTGTTGCACGAAGCTCGAACATTTTTCATGATTACATCCGAATTAAATTTCTTTTCAGATTAATATAATTAAATTTTCATACACTCACTTAAATTTGAGCTTATATTTTGCCTTATTGGCAACGGATATGGGCTTTCAGGCGCCTTAGCAGTTGTGGTCTCATGTTTCATTGCCTGGCATACTATCGTTACAATTTTATTCCAGAAGGTTTTAAACAATTTGAACTGTATAACAGATTCGACGCTATTTTGAAAATGAGTATTTTCCTTTTAGGTTAAACAGAGTGATGAGCAATGTTATTGCTCAGTGCCTTTTAAAATGATAAATGAGCAAGAAATTAATAAGTGTCATCTATTTATTGAGACGAAAGAAGTCAGTCTCACTGTATAACTAATTTGTTTTTTTTGTGTCATCCACTTGTGATTCTCAAGGTGTCTAGCACTGAATTAGTCATTTCTTTTGTGGCTGATTCCACTCTTACTATGCACACGTGGTTGACTAACAAGAAATAATAGGCAGTATTTAACAACTTGCCAGAAATATTCAAAATAAAGAAAGTCTAGTCATTTAACAAACATCAAACATTTCCATACATACAACTGTATTGTGGACAACCAACAATGTCGCAGATTTATTAATCATCGGAAATGTCATCTAGTGTTTAACTTTTGTAAAAATATTAATAAAAGTTATACTGGTCATTTGCCAAATAGAATTCAGCATAGTCGCATCCAAGATTAAGTGCCTATACCGGACAAAGGGGCCAACAAGTTAATCTTAAAACTACACATTTTTGTCCAAAACACCCACAGAGGCTAAAAAATTTGTTCTTAGTAGGCAACATTTTGTAACGCTCACTTTGAAACGTGGACGTATATTGTCGTCAATACCGTCCGTCCATCGGTCCGTGATCAACAATTGCTTGTAGACGCTATAGAAACTAACGTGTTTATGTTCACAAGACGATGAAGCATACTGATTTTTCGATAATTACTGCCAGAGTTACCTTGATCAATATGATAAATCTTGCGAAAGCTCAAGAGGCTAAAATTAACACCCAACTTATTTATTTAAGTTATGGCGTTTGCATGATAATTTTGAAGAACTTAGCAAACCCTTAAGTTATTTTCCGATTACACTAAATGCCAAACAAATTATTTCTGATAATTAATGGGTTAAGTGTTTTGTAAATCATCTCATTTTCAGAAAATAATAAATATGTGACCCCCTTCCGTGAACTGCTTCAAACGACGTAGCTGCTATGTTCATATATAGCAACAAAGAATTTAAAATCACGTTTATAGCATTAAAATGATTTCTAGCAATGATGACTTTGATGTTTGACGAAGACACCGGGTCACCGCACAAAGAAACTCCTAGCAATATATAGAAGAGATCTGAGCGTATTAATCTACACGTTGGTTAAGAAATGGTTCCGATTGTTTTAGATGGTCAGACAAGACTTATCCAGTAGAGAAGCGGAGAGTCTCGTGAACATGTTCAAGACAAGCCCGAACTGAAAGGGGGACCATGGCATAATAAGACAGACGAATACAATAACAAATCGTTCAATCTGTCTGAATGTCTGTGTAATCACATTAAGTCATTTTACCAACAACCATTCTTTTCAATTGATAAAAGGTTTTAATAAACATGGCCGACACCAAAGGAAGTTGTTACCGTCTAATTATTGTACTTGGACCAATTCCATCCTTTACTTCTCATCTTTGATTTATTATCATGTCTCATTGATTGGTCGCCGTCTTGATTTGTGTGAAAAGTGTTTATTAGGAATATATTTATGGACTTCAATTTGTATTTAATTTGTTCCAAAACATATCTATTTGGGAAATACACATTAGATTACATAAAAGGACTCGCAAACTAATGAAGGTATATCATTGTCATTCCTTTTAAGTCAATTGATTAATTTTTAGAAACTACATGGTCAAGATTCGTAAATAAAACTTTCTCGACCATTTATGCCTTGTCTTTAAATAATTCCATTTATGCATGTACGTATTTCATAATAGGATCGATGGGCATGCAGATAGTTCATAAATGACTAAATTTAGAAACAGACATAAAAATGACATAGGCTATCCTATTATACCTATGTTCTAATTTTAATACAAACTAAGTTTAATTTTACCAATATTAATAAAGGCAGATGCATTTATAGTAAGACCACGCTGCAAACAATTCAGGCAGCGGTTTCAGATACAATATAACAGATTGAATCTTGATCCAAAAAAGTCAGCCCAATTTAATAAAGGGGTATTGTCACGCTCACCAAGAAACTAATTGTGATCTATTTTGGATATTATCAAATTCAGGATAACCTTAGACAACACTTAGTTATCGAAAATCTAACATTGATCTACTTTGAGCAAACTATTTTTCATAAGCATTCGATATACTCCTTGAAAACGACCCTAAACATTTATACGGTTGATGAGTTGGGTACAAAATTGCAAAAATCGCAGCGATGGCTTAGTCTGTATCATCCCAGTCTAACGTGTATGTAGGTCTTTACAAAATAGTATCTATATGGAACGGACTGTCTGAATCTTCGAGCAAAAAGTTCAAGTAATGGATTATGTGAACTTTGTTTTCATTGCACATACATTCTACATATTTCAAATATAAATTGGAGATTCTTTTTCCTCTCAAACAATCGTAAGATATATGAGAAACTTCATAACCCTTGACACTGTATACAAATATAGGGCTATTTTGTCCAGTCCAAAAACTTTATATATTCTTCAAAAAATGTAGGGGATATTGAAATGCGAATACCTATGCAGGTTGGGATATGATAAATAGTCATGGACACTTGACATGCTTTGAGAGTATGTTCACAATGAAGAACTTATCGCCCCAACAGAACCACTGAGCTGCACATGTGACACGCAATGGCGCCATACACGTGGGAGGGGTTCATTGTCAAATTTGACACTTCAAGGAAGGGTTGATGAAAACCGCCGCGTGCTGGTTTATCTATCCATGTTTGCTTTCCTATCGGTTCCTGCATAAGATTTACTGTTTAGCGTATCTTTGCTTTAGTGTGTTACGTTTAATTTGATCGGGAGACGTGTTCGTCGACGTCAACGTCAACCGACAACACTGCAAGAATTGGCCGTGACACTGCAAGAGGGGTGGGTCAGATTGCCCCAAATCGAATTGCTGAATGTCTGGGATTGGTGGAGCAATTACTCATTATTAAGACAAAATCAAAAACGTCCATTTTCACTTTTGACGGTGTACATGTATCTCTTTGCGAGTGAAATGGGGCCGTTAGATAAGCCGCCCATATTAACTGTTCATGTGTAGGCAATTGGCCTGTTATTAACATACACTGGTTACCTCTAATAAAAACAGCAGTGCATTTCCCCAGTTTTGTATTGTTTCAGAATATCCCTTACTTTTTTGAAGAGTATATATAGTCTGGAATTATGCTATATCGGTTCTCTCAAAATACAGGAAGAGATTGGCCCCACAGTCGGTTTACATATTCATGATTACATATTAATTAACAGCTATCGACCAAGGGTAGAGTTAGGTCGTGTTATGCTTCATTCTTAATATCCGCCTAATACGTTAGTATTTATATCCTGCGGGCCAATGATAAGTCCCGCCCACTTTTAGTATAATGAGGGCAACGATGTAGCATCTACCTGACATAACTATATTTTGCTTATAATCTAACTTAATGATGCCTGAAGTAATTATTGACAAATCACATTAAATCTAGTTTTATTTACCAACCGATGAAAATCAACAAACGCTACCCCCCCCCCCCTTTAAATGAGTAATGCATAATTTTATTGGCACGTTGTAGTGAATGGTTTATTGTACTAAATTTCATAACAATTACCATATTCACCATATAATGTTCATGTGACTATAATTAAAAACTAAATAATGTTCAGCTGAAATATATGGATTTTTGTCTTGAGACCTCTGCACACGAATAATATTGTCGGCGACGATCTGTAGGGAAAACACTCAGAGCACCCTAGACCGATTTTTAGTCTCTGACGTTTCTTTCCGATGGTACATGAGACATTATTGTGCATGAAAATTCCAATATTATGGTTACATAGCCATGTGTTTTTTAAGTGCTTCCCCATGCATAATGGCCTCCATCAATACAAACAATCTTCGTTATAAAAAGTTCCCATTTGAACATTTATCCATCCCAATGGATTGTCGGCCAGTAGCGCACAAATAGCCGACAAACTTAAATCTTTGGTGTGCACAGGCCATAAGTTATTTTGCAAGTAAAACATGAACCCGATTCTAAGTGATAATGCATTATATAGAATAATGTTTCTTTCTTACTCATTAAGGATGTTGTTTTCAGGGATAGGTTTTAAAGGCGAAGAATTGGTGATCCATAATGTAACCAGATATTGTGGTGGTATTTATGAGTGTTTAGCTGATAATAACGTTCCCCCAGCAGTCAAAAAAGAAATCCGAGTAGATGTAGAATGTACGTATGATATTGTCATTATAAAACAGTTCGTGTGTTAAGAAACAGCCCTAGAAACTAGTGAAATTGAACGTCCCAAATCCATTTACAAGATATTTTTAGAAAATAGTTATTAAAAGATAAATAAGGCTGCAGGTTAAATGGATCTATATGAAAATTAAAATCTGACTACTTATTCGATACATTGTTAGTTGTATTAAGGCGACGTATCACAGTTTCCATTCCATTAACCTAATAATAAAAATAATTTGGTATATAGAGGGGTATGAAGTTCAAAATGCGATCTAGAGTGAAATGAAATTCCACTGGAGAAAATTTATGGAAGAAAATCGTAAGTAGAAAATTGTAAGTAGAAAAGCGAAAGAAGAAAGTCAAAAGTAAAAATTCTGTTGATTGAAGTAGAATTGGGTGGTCTTGTTAAGGCTAAATGCATAAAGTTCAAGGTTACCTCCACTAAAGCAGAATTTTCTCTGTTACTTTTTATTCTCTGCTTTTACTATAGATCGAATTTTGAACCTGATACCCATCTATATCGGTATAGTTTCATTTGAACGTCGACATAGTTTCAGTACACAGAAATAAACGAGGTGATTTTGAAAGATACCACTTTAACTGACTTATTTGTATGAAGCAAAACTGTGGGTGATGAATATGCCACCGATGATTTCTCCGGCACTATCAACTAATTATAAGGGACGTAAATATGAAATAACATGTGACAGCAATTTTACGGCTGGGTATAACATAGGCTCAAACGAAATATAAATGCTAGTCTACAAGATATACAAACATTTTCTGGGATCCCAGGGAATTTCCGGATCCCCCTTTGTCCCAGCCGACGAGATACCCATTGCATCCCATCACATAGCGCGTAGGTTTGGTAAATATAAAATGGTATGCATTTAAATTTATATAATACGGGAGTTGATGTTTCCGTTAACTATTAATTTCATTTTTTTTCACTAATAGTCCAGCCAGAAATACGACTACCAACGAAACGAATCGGACAAAGCAAAGGAAGAGAAACTATTTTAGAATGTGTAGTGACGGCCTTCCCCCATGCTGTCAGTGTTTGGCAGTTCAGGGGCAGAGAACTCTCCAATAGTTGGAAGTACCGGATAGAGGTCTTCGAAGAGGGAATGTACACTAAAACATTAAGTTTAAGAATAGTCCAACTGGATGAAAGAGATTATGGCATTTATATGTGTGTAGCTTCGAACTCCTTAGGCAAAATAACAGACACTATGGAATTATACGGTAAGCCGATTCGAGTATCAAAATTTTATTTGGGAGTCACTTGTTGTCGCCCCTGTCCGTAGGTCCATCCGATTTGGGTTGTTCGGCTTGTCCTAAGGACGGACCCGATCGAAATTTAGTTTTGTAAAACCTGTCATCCGTAAATGCTATACGAGTCAGAGGTTTTGAGAATCTTTGTCCAAACTAGGACATAGATGAACCCTATCGAAATTCACATTACTTTTTAAAGAGTTATTAAACAATCACCAAGAAACGCTCTAACGGTAAGAGGTGTATGCGTAGAAATTGTATGTCGTTATTTCTACACACGTTCTACGTCTGCATTGAATTAACTAACAAGTCTTTTGACTACTCGCTACTTGTAAACAATATATCATTGACCCTTTTCTTACAGAACTCAAAATAGCTACCAAACCGACTACAGTAACGTCTACGACAGTTTCCGTAACACCTGGACAGTTAAATCGTGGTGAGGGCAGGGGACACAAAGCCTTACAGTCAGACACCAGAGTGGACTCGCCTTTATTAACTAATACACCTAGCGATGGTATATACGGCGAGGAAGATGAAGATGAAATTGGATTGGGGCAGCTTGACCAAAGAATAAAAACATATATACACTCAGCAGGTGAGTACAGTTTCTACTTTGTACATTGTGAACAACGTTTGGTAGACCAAGCAAACCTAAGGCAGAATGTTAGCAAGTTTTATGTTGATTCTTGAATACATTATTCAGCATCTTGGCTTTCCCCTCTTACCTCCTTAGTTTACGATAGCAAGAATGGTACTGTAATTGGTATATTCTGTGACCATGCCAATGCACGGAAATTGATTGGTCGTGGAAATGAAATACCGCGGAAGATTATTATCAAACTGTTAACATGGTGTTTAGTCTTGATCATCATAAGATAATTACAGCACTATTCATAGCCAGGCTCAGGTTACAAAAGTTGTCACCTGACTGGCATAAAACATGTCTTCTAAGCATCTGAAAAACTAAGAGTCGCCCAGTTCGACAAGTTCCGCTGAGATTGCTATAACCAGAGTTATCAAACATGTGGTTAAACCACCTTAAAAATGCATTAATACAGTTATCGCAAAAATAGTTCAAAAATAGATTATGAAAAGGGTATATGTAAAAATTTCAGTCAAATTGATTCATTCTGAGCGGAGTTATTGCCGTTACAAGAACAGTGTAGTCTCTATTGTCATTGCTACCGTTGTTACGACAACCAATAAAAGCCTCAATTATCCATTTTTAAATTAAATCCTTAACTACCAATCGTATTTAAATATGTTGAAAATCTCGAGCATCGAGAGTTGATTATGTTCTAATTAATAATTTATATAACATTTTTATACGCCCACATGGAAATGTGGACGTATATTGCCGTCGCCCCGGTCCGTCCGTCTGTCGCTCCGTCCGCCCGTCGTTCACAAGTTATTATCCGATTATTTTAAAATTGATATATGTGGTTTACATTAGTGAGATGACGAATCCTATTTAATTTCAATAATTTCTGTTGAACCATGTGAACGCTATTACGCCAAAAGTTTTATCCAATCTTTGTGAAATTTATATGCATTATTTACATTTGTGAAACGAAGAAGCCTATTGCAGTTTCCGTTTATTACGTCTAGAGTTATGGTCCCTTTTTCACTTTATTGAATCTTGTGAACGCTCTAACGCCAACAGTGATCACCCGATCTTGTGTATGATTTAAATTAGTAAAACGAAGAATCCTATAGAATTTCAGCAATTTCCGTCAATTACTTCTAGAGTTATGGCCCTTGTTTCACTTTGTTGCACCCTGAGAACGCTCTAACATCAAACGTTATCTCACTGATTTGCCAGGATTTATCTGTCAGATAAAAAGATACATTCTTTTATTATATGTTTTTTTGTATTTTTTAGGAGCTAATGGAAAACAGGCTGCTGTAGATAGCTTAAATTCGGCTTCTTCTATTTATTTATCATCGATTACTTGTGTTGTGTTCCTTCTCCCATACATTATACACTAAACTATGTCCAGAACAAAAGAATAAACATAATTAAGCTGACCGGGTGAATTATGGCAAATATAATTTGACAATAATACAAAACACATGGAAGATTCCTAAACAAGTTTTTATTTGAAGTGATGTGTTTACAATCTGTACCATTTACGTTTTGTCAGTCATCTAAACACAAGTGGGAAATTGTGTCTGACATTTCAAGGACAGTCTTTTCCAAATGATATTTCAGTATCCTAATCGATTTCTAAAACAGCATCAAAAAGAAATGCCAGCAAGTGTAATTTATGGAACGCCAATGTGGAGAAATATCATATATTATGTATATCCTATATGAAACAGTTATGGTTGTGAAATTGGCCCAACTGTAGCCCCGATTCCACCGATAAAAGACTGGAGATGAAAAATTGTGTTTTCTTGGTTCGAGGAGCAACATTTTGACCTATAACTGCCGTAGAAGCCGGGGTTAGCCATTTGTAATTTCAGCAATTGATTATTATTTTCTATAGTAGCATAAAATAAGAACAATGACGTTAGATTACTTTAGTAAATATAAAGTTAAATCGCTCCTTAGACAAGATATAAATCCCCCAAAATCTCTGAATAAGACAAAATTAAGTTGAATTTTACAATAGAAATCTTTTTAGAACAGTGGCATAAACCTACACCGCCCGGTGGTGCCACTTTGTTTCCAGTTTAAAAACAAACTCGGGATACAATCATGAAGTTAGATAATCAGTTCTTGGTGTGTTGATACGTGTTCAGTGTCAAGTTTTAATCATTTAATGGATAGATAATCAGCAGTATTTAAGTTGTCATTCATGATATAATATACAAAACTATGTATCTAAATCGGAAAACAAAGTGGTATAATATTGTAAATTATGATCAAGTAAGATTAGTAGAGTTACGTTCAAACGTCTGTTTAGTTTGTAAGAACGGAACTAGAAATTATTTCCATGATTATTTTGAAGGACGAAAGTTCGTTAACATATAAATATGTAAGTATTAATTTCTGAATGCTGGAAGGTATTCGTGAAATAATAATGAAGGTAAATTGGGTTAGTAAGACAAATCACATGATTAATGAAGAAAAGAGTTCAGCTATCCAGAAAAACTACTTAAAACGTTCGTTTTATTATTTTCCTTGTCTTATTTTATTTCAATAAATAAAACATAATCGTATTCATTTTTTGTTAGATTTTGAGTCAGTAAATATATCTAAATCTCATTTATTGCTTGTTGCTGTGTGGCGTTAATATGGACCAGTCACAATAATTTCATGCAACAAACAATATAAAGTAATTGATAGATGCATCTTTATTTCGATGTAGCTCCATTTGTTGATTTACTTACAGAATGACATAAATGTATTTATATTATGTATATAATACCATTGTAAATAAATGAGCACTTATACAATATTAACCCTGTTTATGCACAGTAGTGAAATTGTTATAATACCGAAGATGTACTGAAGCCAGATGCCTCGGTCTCGGCTTTGTCAACATTTATTTACGTTACTTTCACTAGTAACCATCGATGATGGCTTTTGACGGAACATCAGTGGCTTTTCTGCCAACAGTCATCATCGATGGCCACTATTTAAATTTGTTGTCTATCGATCGAGGATTTTGTAGAAAAACCAGTCGAGACCCCTGTGGATAATACTTTTGTGTTTGTTTACTTGTTCGTTTTCCAATATTTGTCAACTAGGACTACGAAGATTATGGTATATTTTATTGGCGTTTGTTTTAAATAACGTTTTGTATCTTGATTTTCATTACGTTTTTGTATGGACAAGTACTTAATCAATAGTGGCTTTAGAATCTGAATTTAGTCTGGTTTTAGAATGACAAAACAGATAAAATTGGTCTAAGCGAAGAAGAGACATTTCACGGATTTGTCAGTATGTCATAATGAATTTTTAAAACCAGTCTGTGTTTAGATTTTATGTAAGAAAACAGTTCGACTGATCTATGTAATTATAGCCATTTATGTCAGGAAAAAAACCCGAAGCAGTTTTAGATTAACAACTATGGTGTGAAAATCCCGATAAACTATGTTTTAACACTGTGTTTCAGACTTTGGGATTAATGTTATCCATATACGTAAATCTAAAGCGTTTGCGATTGTCTGTTGTATATAATATATAAGTATAAAGGAGGTGTATATGTATGTAATTATCGTTATTATTATATAATACATAACCATGTAAATAAATTTCTTTTTCGTCATTTATCATATATTACGTGTACATTTTTATTGATTATTAAATTTGCTTAAAAAGTATTTTAGAACTAGTTCATACACTTGATCATGGAACATAAATCGCGTGTGTGTGTTGTGTCTGTGTGGGTGTGCGTTTGTGCTTGTGTGTGTGTGTGTGTGTGTGTGAGAGAGAGAGAGAGAGAGAGAGAGAGAGGGCAGGTCATTTGGGTTAGTATCTGGAACAGCATATAACTTGAGCACATTGGTAGGACACGGAGAACTCGAAAGGAAATCATGGGGCTTGGAACAAAACAAAGGTACTTGCATGGACCTTGCGATCGAAAGCATTCATGTTATACCACTCGGAACCACGTGGGGGACATAGAGATATAACTGCTTGACGCATGTTCAGATATTTTATAAACAAACTCTGTGGTCGGTCAATGTCCCACACTCATGGACCAATCTACATGTATACATAATTAAATCTGTGACAATGAATCGTTTTTCATCAATATGTGATCTGTGTTACATTCTGAGTTGACCCTTCCGCATGCATGATGTCCGAACATGAATTCAAATATACAGGAATTTATCCAGGTATACCAACTGCCTTAGTGATAGGGGTACCCATGCCTGGCGTTAACTTCTTTAGCTTAAAGTATCTTACCCTCTGTGGTGATTCTGAAGACGGAATAACGCTTATTGCAGACTAGGAGCAAGTTGATTAAAGGGAGGTAACTGCAATAATCGAATAAAATATAAGATATAGACCACAATTAATTTCCCCATTGCGTTCAATGTCCCATTTCCCGGTTTTGCACTAAAATTTGTATGAGATTGAATATGGTGGCTGATTGGTATCATGTCGTGATGTCGTGCTTCATAAGGCAACAACCCGACATCACGACATCTTAACCCGACACCACGACAAAATGTTGTAATGTCGCGTTAAAATGTCGTATTGTTGAGTTAAAATGTCGTGATGTCGGGTTGTCGGCCATCTTCCTCTCAAAATGCAGTATGGTTATGTACACTGATCCTTCTGCTGGTCAAGAAAGTTCCCCGTGATTTTGCAGCCTTGTTTCTCGCTGCCGGTAGTGCAAGACGAACGGTCTGACAAAGAATAGTGTCTAGTTGTGTAGATGGGAAAAAACACAAGATCCTGTGTACACATTGGCGTGCACAAAAAAGAACCCTTCACATTTGGAATTCGATGAAAAAATGGTATTGTCATAACACACTGCATAGCGTATGCCTATCTTTTATGTGCAATCCAATGTGTACAAAGGGGCTTGTGTTTTTGTCCCATCTAGGCCTAGAGGGCGACACCATATTAATATAATCTTTATTCAGATCTCACAATGAGACATATGAATACAATTTACAAAAATAGTTCATACAATCAATGGCAGATTTTGGACAATACACTACATTCATAATATAAGTTATCTACATTAGACAGTTCATTTAAACGTATATGTATATTTATATAAGTTATCTACATTGGACAGTTCATTTAAACTTATTTGTATATTTATATTAGTTATCTACATTGGACAGTTTATTTAAACTTATTTACAATAATCGATATCAATTTACAAAGGTTTTCTAACTCGGCACCATGACAATTAAAAAGTTCGTACATCTTTACATAGGAAGGATATTGGTGATAATAAGGTTTTAAATAATTTAGTCGGTCATTCTGGAAAAATGGACACTTAAAAACTGCATAAAATTCATCGCCTATTTCGTTATATGAACAAAGGTCACAGATTCGATTTTCTCTGGGGATTTGTAAAAACACTCCGGACTCGATCGGTAGTCTATGACTTCGACATCTAAATCTAGCAAAATAGCGTCTATATTTTACAGGTAAAGCAGTTAGATATTCTTCCTGCTTGTGAGTAGATTTAAACAGACATTAATTAGCACATGTATTCGAGGTATTAATAGAACTATGCCAATCCTGCAGATATTGGTCTCTTAACCTTAATAACAGACATTGTTTTAACCATTTACCGTCAATATTATTAGCTTGAATATTCCATATATTAGACAAACCAGTATAATTTAAAGTCTCTTTTATACAAGTTAACCACGTGTTAGGGTCATCTGATTTATACAATATATCATACATTATATATGCAAACTTTGACTTTGATCTAATTACAATTTTGTGCCATGTTATATCAATCAGCCACCATTATTGACTGTACATATCATCATAACCAATCTCTTAACTCTTTTATCGCCCCGCCCTTAAACCCTGAATATTTACCAAAACCTGGCAGAAAATGTTAATTCAAACCCCCTTCTTCCATTTAGACCAAACAATCAACACAAGTGGCAATTCAAAAGGGGAGATAAGGGAGAGTGGGAGAATTGCTATAAATAGACGAACTACCGAGAAGGTAATTTAATTGTGGTCTGCCTCCATGTAATTCTTTCTCGTTGACTTCAGTATTAAATTCTTCTAATCACAAAGAGCCAACATTGTCTGATTAACAATTGGACGGGGTCAACAACCTCATATCGCAATTCTTCAGTTTTGATGATGATGTCGCTCACATAAAGATATGTTCATTCAGCTATCCAATGCAACGAGTGTCTGGTTAATCGAGTGTAAACTATAAATAGAATTCCGGTTATAAAACGAAGCCGACGAACGTTTTTATTTAACTGACCCACTGAGTGCGCTTGCTGAAGGTTGGTATTATTTACATATATAGAAAGGTATGTAAACTTTCTTGCAATAGACTTTTAAGAGTGTGTATCAATATATGTTTTCTTTTTGAGAACTTAATTTGGTTGAACATTTAAGGTTCTGTATTGAAGGTGCTCAATGTTACAAGTTCAACAATGGTTTATTATTAATGGTGTTGGATAAACGCAGCTTTTGTGTTGTACCCGTTTTTAAATACACGTACCTACCAACTCAATTTTGTATATTATGTTATTAGACAACTCACATACAAAACTAGCGTATTATCGTTTACTGTTGAGATTTGCGATTGCTAGCCTCAAAGTGCAATTTAACCGTTTGCATTGCATACAAAACCTCCGCCCAAAACACCTAGCTCCCCATTTCGTGTGTTTTCAAACATGATATTGTTTAAGACCCTTGTCGTTTTGAGAACGTTTATGTATGTTTTGGAGTTGTTGGATAATAGATCGAAATTACAATTATATTGAATAATTAAAGATACATTATGGGAGATTCGATAAAGAGTTGGCAGTTCTCACTAAAATAATTAAAAACTAGATAACGTAATGGCAATTTGCTGAAAATTTCATTCAAATTGATCCACTATGAACCGAGAACTAAACGAATGAGATTTCTACCTAGCCTCTGTCATCATTACTAAAGTCAGTACGTTAAACAGCATAGTCTCGATTTACTCGTTTAATCGAGAAGGAAAGTTATGCAGTAAATCGGATCACAATCCACTAAAGATCGCAGGCTAGCGATGCCATCTAGAGTTGATTATGGTCTGGATAAGTTAATTAATGTCTAATTAATAATTTAGATAACATTTCAGGCCTAAAGAAAGACCTGTAATAGACAGATTTAGCTCTTGCAATAATGTATGTTTAATATAATATAAATAGAGTAAAAAATGTAGTTACCTCCCTTCCATCACTGTAAATCTTGATTGTGTTTCGGCGCTACCCGAAATGTACTGAATAGCAGACCTTATGAGCCAACGCACACACGTTAAACCATTTGACCATCCAACCCCCTTCTGCCTAAAGAGAAAACAATTATTTTTTTAGGTGTTCTCGAAGATACAATGGAGTTGACAAAGGAAGAGTCAAATGGAATCCTGAAAACCGTTCTACATTTGGATTTACCTGACGAAGACATACTAAAACCTAATTTAATACTTCTGAATAAAATCATAATGGCCGTTCACGAACATTTACCATTCCAAAATCTAACACTAATGGCAGAAAATGTAGCTGATCGACATCGACCAACCTGGTGTGAGATAAAGTCTGCCATGTTGAAAAATCATGGCGGTTTGTGCTATCCCATGAACCTATTCTTGTATCGTTTATTGGAAGTTATTGGCTATGAAGTAACCATGGCCCATTCCACTATTACACAATGGACAAACATCAATAAAAATGATCACGTGGTTGTATTTGTTCATAACGTCAACAATGAAGGGGATTTATTTCTCGCAGAAGTTGGCTTGGGTTGTCCCACATTTGATGCTATTGATATGTCTTTCGATAAAGAGTCGAAGATTTACGAAGAGTCTACGCATGTTTACAAATATACGAAGAGTGGCGGCAAAGGATTTCGAATGTACAAAGACCCCGAAGACGCCAGTTGGAAAGAACTTTACGTTTTTGACCTACTCGGAACAAAAAAGATGGAACAATTTGAGCCTTACTACGATCGAATATTCACCGATCCCACCGTAGGGATATTCCATTCTATAATTAGAACAGCGGCTTTTCCCAACAAGAAAGCGGTGGCCATTTCTAACGATACGAAGACGGTCGAAGATGAAGAGGGAAATGTTGAGAAATCAAAACTGGCGACCGATGATGACATTATAAAGGAGTACGAGAAGCTGTTCCCACAATTCGAAGAATCGATCGTAAAATCGGCTTTAGCCAACTGGCGAAGTTTACAAAAAGAGAAATCAAAGTAGATGTAAAATAACCGCATCATGTCTGAAATAAAAATGTATTTCCGTCTTAAATTAACTCTTTTGTCAACCACGTCCTTGAAACAATGTGAACATCTATTATTATCGACTGGTCGAGTTTATGAGGGTTCTACTGTATTGCACGAAAGTGCGACAAAGTGTGTTTTTCTCATTTTTACCCCATTTCACATACATTTCGCTTTCGCATTGTCGTTTTCGCGACATGCACGCTAAAGTGCAAAAATAATCGCAAGGAATTCAGATTGAAATATAAACTAGAACTACTAAGTAGTAATGACGTGTTTCGGTATGTCACGTCACGCCTTGTCACGTCAACATTACAGTTACACCATGAATTATTGAGTACATATATAGTAACATCTAATACCTATTAAAGTGGGAAAACCTGTCTTTTTGAACTCTTAACAAAACCGGAAGTTATACTTCTTTCTTGAGTGAACTTTTTTAATATTGTTAGTAGACATCAGGGTCATCATACATACAATAGTCATGGAAAGGTTAGGTCACCATCTAGATGATCAAAAGTCGAACACACTTCAAAGTGAAACCGGAAGTAAACAAAATCGAAATTCAAAAATCGACTCCCTAAAGATTGTTGCCACTTGGAGTAGGTTCAATACAAAATATATTTTCGAAAATCGGAATTAAAGTGGCGGTTGAATATCGATTTGAATGATTTTTTATAAAATCTAATATGGCGGCCAACTAGTTGAAAATGAAATGAAATGAAATGGGGTTTAACGTCCTACTGTTTTGCTCCGAGCTGGGCTAATGAAGACGGGCATACGCCATACAGTGTGCTATGAGGGAAATTAAATTGTTATCGAACACGGTCTTTGAAAATGAAAGATAATATCTGGGGCTAACACCACCATATGTCATTTTTTGTATATTTTTGAAATGGAGACACCTATTCATGTTCGGGAAAAATCGGGAGGCTCGGTAATTCCCAGAAGTTTCCGGAAGCCGTCACAAATTTTTTAATATGCGATTTTGAGGGCATTGATGTGTTCCTTATTCCTACCAAGTTTCAACTTGATATCTCAAATTATAGGGACGGAGATATGCCACCTTGAATGTCGAAAGAATGATGAAGAAAATTTTCGCAAAATCTTTATGCTAATATTAATCGAGCGAACTTCCGAATTTCTAAAAACCGTCAGTCAGAGCCCATATAGGATTCGTCCAAAGAATCCAAAAATGAAAACCCGAAGAAATAACCGAGGTGTGGGCAATCTGAGACTATTTTTTGTCCCATCCGTAAAACACTTCCAGTTTGTCAAAAATGACCCAATTTATATTTAATAAATAGACGCACGGAGGCCAACCACATCTACGTTGGCAGAATGTTTGCACCATTTACAGTTTTGACTGCACAAACTGACTAAATTCCACAAAAAAGTAATAAAAACACGTACAGAAACAATACGTGTTTCGACCGAAGGTCCAAAACACATACAAATGACCGTATCCAGCTACCATACATTTCAGTTTTATACGGATTTCTGGAAAGCATGCCGAATGTGTTTGACCTAAATGTTCGTTTTGCGTATAGCGTTGTGGGTTACCTGTTTATTTCGTTCGCTTGGTGGCTTTGTTATCTATTTATATTATGTGTGATAAGATATGTTGATAAAACATAAGTTTCTGAACAAAATTATTGTTTGTTTCATGTGCAATGAGACACATTGTACAAATAGTTTAAAGCAGCTAAACTTCTTTCTTATCAAGAACTTTTGACAAATTTCGTTTATTTTAAATATTTCAAAAGGTAGCAGTGTTACTTTAATGCTTCCATGGAAAGATTATGTTTCAATATATTACTCATATTTTAGAAATAGTAACATTAAATCATTCTTTACCCAATCAAAATTGTGCATGTATTAAAGATAGATTATGGGAGATTCGGTAACGAGTTGGCAGTTCTCACTATAATAGTTAAAAACTAGATAATGTAAAGGCAATTTGCTGAAAATTTCATTCAAATTGATCCACTATGAACCGAGAACTAAGCGGGGTCTTCCCATATCGCCGACTCACCGAGTTTTGGAAAGTCGACCGCGGCACCCTTTGATTGGATTAAAACGGATTAAAAGCGTTAATGAGGCAGGGACCAGTCATTATTAATATAGTTCACTGAAATTGATTTATACCACAGACCTTTATTGACTTTTTCGCCGAAACAATTATTAAAATTCGTGAATAGTTTGTTGACTCCCCCCCCCCCCCTTACACTGACATTAAAGTCCCACCCCAGTGTAATTTCTCTGCTTTTGAGCCATCGAATGTTGATGATGTAATATCAGTGGTGTGTCAAATGAAGTGTAAGTCGTGTGCTCTGGACCCAATTCCTACAAAACTACTAAAGGAGTGTCTGGATGAAATAGCACCAGCTTTGACGATTATTATAAATGATGTACTCTCCTCTGTTATTTTTCCGGATGATTGTAAGGAGGCCATTGTAAGACCTCTGATTAAAAAAAACAAAAATTGCTTAAAAAGATCATTTTATCTCAAATAATAGATTATCTCACTCGAAACTCACTGCTCGGTAAATTCCAGTCTGCTTATCGAGAGGGGCATAGCACTGAAACCGCACTCCTTAGAGTGCATAACGATGTTATAGATATGAACAAGGAAGACTGAATTTATTAGAATTTTTGGACTATGTTGGACTGCGTGCAAAAATTTAAAATTGTGCTATGTTATGTATTATAAATTAAAAAAAAAAAATAAATCCTCCCAAAATTATCTGCTTAATGAGGTTTATCCTTCAGCTTGGGTCTATTGTTCTTGGCCACTCATTCCCATAACGTCGACCAAAATTTTTCCCCTAAAACTCGGTGAGTCGGCGATATGGGAATTAACCCATTCCTTCTCGATTAAACGATTAAATATATAATCGAGACTATGCTGTTTATCGTAGTGACTTTAGTAATGATGGCCGAGGCTTATGGGAATTTTAGTCGCTTTCGAGAAGGAAAGTTATGCAGTAAATCGGCTTACAATCCACTTAAGATCGCAGGTTAGCGCTGCCATCTAGAGTTGATTATGGCCTGGATAGGTTAATTAATGTCTAATTAATAATTTAGATAACATTTCGGGCCTAAAGAAAGACCTGAAATAGGAAGATTTAGCTCTTGCATAATGTATGTTTAATATGTACTTCCAGCCAATCAGCTTTACTTTAATAAAAGAGTGAGGAAAATAGGGGGAAAGAGTTAGGAAGCGCCATTAAAAGTTGGCTATAAACATGTAAATCCTTTTAAAATAAGTCGACCAAGTCTTGTGATTCTCCCAAATTTCAACTCTGTATATTTCCACTGTTAGAGTGAGTAAATTGTCTAAATGTGTCATAGTAGAAATAACCTTATTTTCAAGTGTAAAACACGGTATGGACATCAGTGAATAACTCTCTTTAATGATTTGTTTACTTTTGTATCTTTTCAGTTGACTTTTTTGCTTACAATAAAATTTGAAACTGAGGGGTTAAAGTTCAATTTAAATAAAATCCCAGAAGTGCAATCACCCAGGAATATAGTAGATGTCCCTTTCGTCTTCTTTGGAAAACAGGACACTTTTTTCATTCAGGTCAGGGTAAGGGCGTGTTGAGTAGGCCCAAGTATAGACTGCATAACCTTCCCTAATACGTCAGACTCGCAGTGACGTAGGAACCAGCCTGACGTCATTTAGAGCAGGTTGTTCAGTCTAGCCCAAGTAGTACCGACCTATCTAGTAGTTATTTTCCCAGGATAGGTCGGGTAGGTTGTGTTCTACGATAATCTGGGCCCAAATTCAGCAGCAACAGATATTACGCTAACATCTTGCTCAACAAGATTCATTAATTTTGTCTATCGACCAGGGCCGGATTTAGATGGAAAGAGTTTCGAGGCTATCCCATTTATGAGACCCTACCCAATCTCTCACAAACAGGCCTACAGTAAAATGAAAGTGAGCAAGTCGAGGATAATGACATGTTTACAGTCCGTGTAAGAAAGGCTTATGAGTATTCAAAATGATAAACATTGGGCCAGATTTCCGTTAGGTTTTCAGGCCCTAGGTTTCAGACTGCCAAACCTATAGGTAAATTCGGCACTGCTAGCTACCTTTCTCAAGATAGAAAACTTATGCTATACGCCAGAATCCTCCAAATGACATCGATATTTCACAAATTTACGAGGAGAGAACTACCGGATTCATCGCAGGCGCACTGACCTGTAACTTTTTTTTATTATTTAGGAAAGTAACTCTGCGTTTGACTGCGTATATAACTATAATGCGATCAAATATGATTATATGGTTGTACATAACTAAATGTGTTGCCTATTTTTATATATTGCAGAAAATGCTTTCCAAGGAAGAGGTTGTCTACTTCTTAACGGATGTGCTCGAAATAAAAGACGTGGAAGTTCTCCTTGAATCGTTAAATAAACTTGACCTCATAAATACCATAATGGCGTCCTACAGAGAGAAAGAACCTTTTCAGAATATTATTCTGATGGCAACAGACCCAAATGAAAGACATCGACCTACGTGGAATGAAATAAAACGAGGCATGTTTCTTAAACAAGGAGGACTCTGTTATTCCCACCATATATTTCTTTTCGCTTTATTTAAGGCCTTAAATGTTGATGTTGCCATGGTCCATTCAACGGTTACCTCGCCAAACAATCATTTAGTTATCATTGCAAAGAACGTACTGAAAACTAAAGACGCGTACTTGCTTGAAGCGGGCTGTGGTTACCCAACTTTTCGAATAATATCTTTGGATTTTGAAGAAGAATCCCCAATATTTTTCGATTCATTTTTAGAATATAAATTGGTTAGATTTGATGGTAAAATTTTACGGATGCATAGAAAAGGGGATATGCGACCACCTAAAGATGTAGACACCAGTTTCTATATCGGAGAATGGAGGAGATTTTATGACTTCGATCTGAATGAAAATGAAAATGTACAAGATTTTGATGAAGTCTTTCATGATGTCTACACAAATCCAGATAGGTCGCCTTTCCATAAGAGTTTTCGTTTCGTTTCATTTCGAGACCAGAAAACTCAGATATTGGTCAACAAAAAATCACTGATTGAAAATGATCAACATGAACTTGAAACAACGAAGTTCGAGTCCGATGGGGAAATTATAAAATGTCTTAATTCATTTACTAATGCCATTGATGAATCCTGCGTCCGAAAAGCTCTTGATAACTGGCGCAAATCTGCAAAAAGTTGTCAAAGTTTAGTCTAAAACAAGGATTATTAGACGCGGAAAATGACGTCAACATGGTAAGGGGATAAGGCGAAGGGAGGTTTACCAATCGTAATGTAACAAACAGACGCTTTATAATTACAAATATATGATAGTAACATCAATTAATTGTGTGATATGTTTAAATAGTGTGAATAATAAGGGACAATTGTTATTAAGGATGCTTTCTCGCTTATAAACTGTGGGATTTGATGATATATTTGGACTAATTTATCTAACAAAACCTTGCTTCAAATTCCTCCCAAAAGTAAATTTTTGGATTATTCTCTACCAACATCTTTTTTCCGCGGTTTAATCGCAATGTCTACTGGATGTTCATGTTTTCACAACCGTTAGCCATTAGATCAAAACATACAAAGCGCTCTTTTCTGGATAATGTAGCCCTCTAAGCTCTAACTAGTATAACCTCTAATGGCGGATGAGGCGGGGTTTCAAACAAATCATTTTTATTTTTACTGGTAAACACAGGCTATTTGCCGTTGGAAACGGGGTGCGTCAGATTTCGTACAATCCGAACGAATAGACAGCTGGAATGGAATATCTCAGTTTGGGTGTTTCATGCTAATGAGCAACATAATCATAAGTCACTAACTGTATAAAAAAAGCAATGTGTAGAATGAATTCTATAAAATATTATCTGATAAAACAATTTGTTTAACTAGACACGCCTTTCCTTGTTTTCTTTCATCAGAATGAGCAATTATCTTTCCTGTTGTTGGGTCTTTATATATGGCTTGGACGGCAGATATTAGATTTGTTCTCGGCAGCAGAGGATGGCCATAGTCATCTTTAAGTTGATTTAATATGTGCTGAAATTCAAGAATACACATCCTCAATTATTTGCTATACGAGTCCGCAGTTTCCACTTTAACGTGCACACAGTGTCATTTTTAAAAAAAAACTGTTGTGCCATCAATGTCCAGGGCCTCAAAGTATATAATACTTTTGAAACCGCCTTAAACTTTTTTTTACAGGCACTGTAGTCTAAGACATCCGCCATCAGCCTCGGCTTGTGTTTAAAACATTCTTTCATCTTCCTCAAGTTGTGATGGTGAGGGATTGGGGGAAGACAAACGAGGTGAATAGCGTAGGGCCTCTCTTCATAGAAATCCGAAACTGGGTGCCGAGAGTGTTAATGACAAAAGCAGGGCAATATAGCCATTTATTTTTTAAAAAGAGGAGGGTGCCGATCCGGATTTTTTAATTAAAGGTAGTGCTTATGGGAGGGGTGGGGGGTAGCGTGTCTCAAAAATTCTTTCTCTTTGTTTGAACATATGGGCCATCTCCCTTAACAGAATTATGTCACATATCCACCATTATTTTTTCATCCTTTATTTGCTCAATATCAGTAAACCTATCCACGAAATCTAATCTATAATGTCAAATTTGCTATTAGTTGAATAGACGCACATACATTATTAAGCCAACAATTGTATGTTAAGATTAAGAATGGGTAATATATATTTGTCCACATTAATATTACCTCTGGAAAATCTGCTTCGTGCACAAGCATTAACTTTCTAATGTCATAAAAATATCTTTTGGTTTTAATTGCTTCTGCTAATGTTTTATTTAAAGAAAATAGTCCCATAACCACCTGCAAAGACAAACAATTTAAAAGAAATTTTGGTTTAGGTTATGACAAAGAATCCTGGATAAAAGTAAACTCTTAAAATAAGGACACAATTTTTTTTAAAACTAGGCCAAAACGTCTTAATTATAATTATTATAACTTTTTCTGATTTGTTTTACACATTTGTACGTATCCAAATTTTAAACCTAAGTTATCGGTTTCTGGCTTTACATGTTCCGAAATATTAAAACGACTTAACCCCTTTTAATATGCTGTGCAGACTTCTCAGGGCGGTAGCTTTGCTTTACCCAACCCGTATTTTAAATTTCTATGACTACATAAAAGGAAGTGAAACAGGACAGGTTGTGGGTCCTGTCTGTAAAAAAAAATAATGCTATATATTATATTATATATAGTTACCGTGGCTATGGATGCCGCAATTCTATCACCGCCGGAACTTCCTATTACCAGGGCAATATCGCCATTTTTAAAAAAGAGAGAAGGTGCTGATCCTCCCGTTGCCATCTTTCCAGACTCTATTTGATTATACGGCTAAAATATAACAAAGAACAGGAAGATTTTACTGGAAAATGTCCTACCAGTGGGACGCATCCACCAGACTGAAAACCGAGGTTTTACACCTTAATATTGCCATACTACAGTACAGTCGCCGCCCCACGCATTCCACCCCGCTTTAGATTCAAACGTGGGATAAAAGCGATAAAGTAATCAAAACAGAAAACCATACAATCTTTGCCATACAATGTCTTATATATGCCCACATTTTCATGTGGACGTGTATTGTCGACACCTCTGTACGAAAGTCCGCCAAAAATTAGTTTGACACACTTTTTATTCGATTTTGACGAAACTTGAAATATAGGTTTGTCCCCCAATGTTCCCGGCTCCTGCCGATATAGGCATTTATCGGACCGTAACTTCATGGATTATGTCCCCTGATTGTAGGAAAATCAAGTTTTTAATTAGCTTGCTGGCACTGATCTAAAGGTCAGATTTTAATGAAACATGAAATGAATGTGTATAAACGAACGATCTCGGTTCCTCTCGTTATTTGCACATATCGGACCGTAACTTCCTGGCATATGGCGACTGATTATACGAAAAATCACGTTTTATCTTGTGGACCTTCTATAAGTGACATTTTTTTATCCGACTAAAACAAACGTTCGAATATCACCGTTTCACCATAATGACAATTGAATTTGAATTTCTTGAAAATCGGACCAAACTGTCGAACAGAATGACCGCACCCCGTAAGCAAATAGTGTAAAAGTATGTAAACTCTGGGTTGCGGACCAATTTTAAAAAAAAAAAACAGTTGAAATATATCACCATTACACCCTAACGATTATTTAGTTTGAATTTCGTGAAAATCGGACCGAAACTGCCCGCTCCTCTTTCGCAAATAGTGTAAAAGTATGTGATACCAAGGTTGTGGACTCTCTAGAGGTTACAATTTTGATCCGATTTTCTTGAAACTTAAAAAATATGTTTATATCCCAAGGAACCCGGTTCCTGTCGATATTCGCGCATATCGGACCATAAGTTCCTGGATTATGGCCGCTGATTGTACGAAAAGTCGCGTTTTTAGCTTGTGGACCCTCTATAGGTTACAATTTTAATCTGATTTAAAAAAAAACGTTTAAATATATCACCGTTACACCCTAATGATGATTGGGTTTAAATGTCGTGAAAATCAGACTGAGATTGCCCGACAAAGTGGCCGCTCCTCATAAGTTAATAGTGAAAAAAGTATGTAATGCCAAGGTTGTGGACCCTCAAGAGGTCACAGTTTTTATCCGATTTTGATGAAACTTAATATGTTTATATCCCAAAGATCTGTTTCTTTCGATATTCGCGCATATTATGGCCGCTGATTGTACGAAAAGTCGCGTTTTTAGCTTGTGGACCCTCTATAAGTTAATAGTGAAAAAAGTATGTAATGCCAAGGTTGTGGACCCTCAAGAGGTCACAGTTTTTATCCGATTTTGATGAAACTTAATATGTTTATATCCCAAAGATCTGTTTCTTTCGATATTCGCGCATATCGTACCGTAACTTAATGGTTTCTGGCCCTCGATTGTATCACGTTTTTAGCTTGTGGCCACTATAGAGGGCACAATTTTTATCCAATTTTGATGAAACTTAATGTATATGTCTATATCCAAAAGATTTTTGTTCGTTTTTAAATTGTCGCATGTCAGACAGTGACATCCTGGATTAAGGCCCCTTATTGTACGAAAATCGCTTCTTTTTTTTTAGCTTACCTTGCTAAATGTGGGCGTATCTTGCATGACAGCCGCTTGTTATTAATATCTTTTATATTAAAATGTTCGGCGTATGTGTATTATAATATGAAAATAAACTTAAATTACCTGTCCGTTGGAAAAGAACGAATTCATTCCGTTGTTTAATATTATCCCAGTGCTTTTAGAGTAAACTAAAGACCCATAACTGAAACAAAACAAAGTACTTAGTTTAAAATGCCACCTAGATATCGTAACAAAGGCGCGCGTAGCTCTAGATGCGGGCGATGTCGGCATAACAAAATTGATTGTCAAAAATCAGTAGGATTCTCCGATAATACAGAAAAGTGAGTCGTAAAACCCTATTTATTTCATTTATTTTATTAAGATAGAAAATCTATAAGCTTATACAATTCAAAACGACTGTTTGATTATAGCTTCCTCAAAACTAATAACAAGGTTTCTAATAAGGGGGAATATCGAAGATTGTGTTAAAAATATAATAAGATTCTTCCTTTCTAAACAATACACAATCAATATAAATTTAAAACTATAAACAGTCCCATATTAATTCCCAACTGATATAAGGCTTCGGGTGACCGATTATGAGCGTATAAGACATTGAAACTAAAACCAAGTATTAACAAGACAAGTAAAATGGCCAGTGAGTCTAGCACTTCAGTAGAATGGGCACAATTAGCCCCGGGACCTACTAATGATTAATAGTACTGGTTATCGACACTGCATCGCCATCCGGACCCAGAACAGATACATGGCTGGTTCCCTTTTCTACACCCGTCCCATTGCTCCCATTCACAAATTTCTCATAAAGTTCATCAGATTGAGTTTTGGTGTGATCTATAAAATTTCGCACACTTCGAATGAATTCTTCACTGTAAAAGTATTTTATTTTCTGTAATAAAATAAAATGATAAAAAGAAATTAGTTAACTCTTGGCCAGGTAACATAAATTAGCGCACCGCAATTGAAATCAGTTGTTCGTTCGTGTGGGTTAATAGCCTGGTGGGAGAATTACATTTCCCCCCAACCTGGGGAAAAAATTAGGGAAGAAATGATTCTTATTTTTTCTGAAAGTATATGACTAGGACATCATCCAAAAAAAAGTCCCACGTTTTCCCGCTTGGGGAAATTTTTTTACAGCACTTTGAAAATCTGACCCCCAGCAATTATGAAAAAATGGGGTAAAGTTACAAGTATTGTCAATATCTCAGTAAATACTAGTGATACGGTCATCAAACTTGGTAGGAATCTTCTCCAGCTGATGCTTGGTGACTTTCTATAAGTTTCACTCGCAATCCGTGACGTCATCAGCTGAAAAAACGAGATGGCGAACCATTTTTTCCCGAAATGAAAATTTCCATCGGAGAATGAGTCAGTACAAGGAAATTGATTTTTTTTTTTTTGCTTGCTTGGTCCGGTACCGAGTTTCTGTGACTATTCTGAATTGAAACGGAGCAATTTTCCACTTCCGGTGTGACGTCATCTGGCAAAAATCTATAATTTTGGCGGGAATTTTTTTCAGTTTTGCAAGGATTTTATATATCGAGTGATGGGTTTGAATGCATGTTTCCATAGTGGGACAAAGCGAGAACGACCTGATTACGGTGTTTCGGGTGAAATTATTGATTCTTCAGACGCAACAACACTACAATTTTCTGGAGTGGAATCCGGAAATAAAATCGATTCATAATATAATTATTTAAACAACATCAGGAATTATTTGAACAACAATAGCAATTCTAAACATCGTCATCCTCAACATCATCAAAACTATAAACTTCAAAATTATCGCAATCACGACCGCCGCAAGCCTGGACACATTTAATGCCGTTTTTCCGACAGGAACATGACTGAGTGGAACACATAGTTTGGCAATTGCATCTGATCACCTTTAGTAACTTATCAGGAGCCGGATTCAAATCTGTCATAATTGGCATGAATTTGTCCTTGTGGATTTTCCATCCCCATTCTTCGGCGTTCAGAATTCTATCGTCCATCGAATTCCATCGAACAATTTGTAGATGCACCCGCAATGAGTGCTTGTTTGAAGCACCTTCGGTAGGGGGAAGTCTTTGTGGCTCAAGTTTTTTTGACTTGGATATCATTGACTGGAATTTTCTGTATCGTAGAGCACATAGATTGTCACTAGAGTTCCCGCCATACAGCCGAATGAATATTACCAGTCCAGCTGCCTGTATTTCGTCCGCGCTGGCGTCCAACGACATCATCACATCGGCCGCTCTTTGAAGCTCTACGGATTTCTGAAGCATTTTCAACACATGCAGCTTGCCATGTTGAAACGTTGATGAAGTTGTGTCACAGCCCGACCATGAATGAATAAACAGTAGGTACTTGATGACCATCGGATCCAGAGTCTTATGTATGTCAGAGATTTTGAACAATTGTTTTATTGTTTGTCGTTCGCGTTTCCAAGTGTCTTTCCTCATATAAACCTCCTCCATGTCATTCTTCCAATGATAGATCAAGGATACAATTATATCAGTGTCATTACAAACGACACATACAACCTGTTTTTCTTCACTATACTTCAAGGCAGTTTTTACGACCGTATTGTCCGCGTCTGCTTCACACAGCACAGTTTTGTGTCTATGGACAAGCCAACCTGAGAGGAACCTTATCAAGTTTGATTTATTGCTCAGATTCCTCAAGAAGGCTTCCCTATCAGGATATATTTCATTACGACCCCCAATTTTAACATTGGGTGCCATTTTACCTGCTCTACGTATATGTTCGTGGTCTTTGATTGATTTAGAGTCATACCCATCAAAAATGATAACGGAAGAGCCAAAGTTGTCATGAACGAAATTATCATAATTCTCTGCCAGTTCGTTATAGGTCTTTCCGGCAGTCCATCGTATTTGGTATAATAACCACCCTCCATCTATGATGCACAACATGTCATCCGTGCGATAATCATCTTTGAAGACATTAGACCCCTGTTTTTCTATGTACTGAGTCAACTCAGATTTGACCGCTTTTCGCATGAGTCCATCTTTGAACAATGACGTAGGTACTGGAGTCATTTTATATGCGTAATACTGTACCTCGTCCGTGTTTTCTCTGGCCGCTAAGGTTGTACATCTCATGAAAAGTACGGATGGGTCTATTTGGATGGTCTCTTTCTCTAATTTCAGACCTGGCTGGAGATCTTTCAAGGTGCGCACTGTGTCACATTTGCGGATTTTTGCGGAAGTTATCGAGACGCTGTCAAGTTTGGCGTGTATTTTACGGCCAATTTCTTCTGCGTGGTCACATGTTATATTGTCATTTTCTGTTGCCACTATGCCGGATGTTATTGAATGAAGTTCATAGTTTTCATCTGCGTGATAGGGGTCATTCACTTCAAACCAGTCGAAGAACTTTTGAAAATCTCTGCCATCGCGCTCAGATCGTGCGGCTCCCATTTCAACATGTTGGTTGCTAGTAGCCAATTTGCGCCCCGTTACCGTTGTCATCGCATCATGTACAGCTGCAAATGTATGCAAGGTGTATACCCACTGAGTTGTGATGCTTTCGGTGAGCCCACGACCATGGGTGAGACCACCGCGACACTTCATTGCACGCATCATAACTTGTTCTATCACTAGATCCGTCGACAATCCGGCCCAATATCGTTGACTCCGTCTCACGGCATGTAGTCCTTCAGAGGAGAATTTCTCGTACAGCCATGGGTGCGTCACTTCAAGTTCAAGCATTCGCTGTAAATATAGTCGAGAACTTTTCGCGTAATGGTGATGATTTGATGCCGCAAAAACATTTAGAAGACTTTTCACAGCATCCAAATGCATTTTCCAGTTGGACAACCGCTCCGCAGTGATGAAATTCTTCAGACAAGATACATAGTATTGAAATTGGCTCCAAAGTTTTGCAGTTCGTGATTTATTTTCTAGATCTAGTCTTTTCTCCCGGATCAGACAATCCAATTTTTTCAAGAGTAGAATTTTCTCAGAAGTACACACTTCATCGACCAATGACGGGTCATCTAATGATTTCCTGAACATTACATCCAACTCATTGAATTCGTCTTCTGCCATTCCATTCTCAGGATCGTTCTTGACTTTACTTAGCAGGATAGCCGTCAATGTCGCATCTAATAGAGTCATTGCCCGCATTGCCCGTTCATATGCTTTCCCACTCATTATATGTTTAACAACATTCTCACCGTAGATCAATTCCAGGGCCTCCTCGATTCCACTCACGGTCATGGTGTGAAAAATTGCGCCGATGGCGCTCATAAGCAAATGGAAACCTCCAAGTCTGAGGACGATTTTTTTTAGTCCTTTTGCCTCCACTATTTCTGATGCTTTGATATAAAGCGGCTGATCAAAAGTTATGGCACAAGACGGTAGACCGAGTTTATCCGACTGCTCCGAGATGCATATCAATGTAGTATATATGCCGGTATCATCACTGGGGCTGAGGTTTATGATAGGCAGTATCATCACGTCCCACTTTTGAGCTTCATCATCTCTAGTTTTGTGAATGTGCTGCATATACCCACTCCAGTTTGGTACTGCGCCTTTCCCGCGATGGGCACCTTGCCACAAAATGTTCGTGTAGTATGCCGGGGGCGGAATTAGAAGAGGGGTGGGATGCTCGACGATAGGCTTGAATTTTACTTGTGACATGACTCTCATCGCCGGGGCTATGTATGTTATTTCTTGGATTTTCTTACCATTAATCAGGTCATCGACGCGGATCCGAGCTCGCCTTTTGATTCTGTAATCCGACGGCGTTGGCGATGACTTCGCTGTCATGGCGACTATGCCGATGGCATGAAACTGACCACCGCCGTCAATGGTGGCAATTGTAGAATCTGCATTGTCCGCCGACCACTGCGTGAACGTAGGGTACGCCTCTGGTGTAACAGTTCCCAGATTTTCATCTTGTATGATAGATGACTTGAACATTCGAATCTCATCATATGACACCGACATGCCTAAACTGAACAGTTCATCCGTCAACCACTTCAAGCCAAAAATATGGTCTACCTCCACACCTAATCCAAACAGGAGAGGCGATATCACTGTTCTTGGTCGGACAGCTTGGCAAATCATTTGTCCGATGACGTTCCTTTTCAATTCATCGGGAATGAGAAATTTCAGTAGCATTCCTAAACATGGTGTGATGAATTCACTCGACGTGGCGCTGTCTCGAATTTCATCAAGTGTTGGGAATTGACGCTCATAGTTGCGTTCTCTGATTTCTTCTTTAATCACGCGTGCACATGTTCTCATAAATCTGTCTAATTCACGCTGTTCATCCTCCTGCTTCTGTTGGTGCCACTGCTTATGGACTGTGAAATTTGCCATATTTCTAAAACACACTATGTCTTCTCTCCCACCACCCACGCTGGCAAAAAACACATGATCTCCGTATTGCTCATATAATTTCACCTTCAGCATTTTCTTAGAATAAATCTCCTCTCCACACGCCAATGTTCTCATAGTGTCCATCAGCTCATCAAGCGTGTATAGTTCTGCCTCCGAGTAATGCTCAAGCCAGTCGCACATCGCCAGGAACCAAGAATGCATACTATTGTCCATCGGCCGGCCGGACTCACTATAAGTTGATATTGCACGCGCAAATTGCTTGTAGCAGCCATGATGGTAACGACCTTCAGCCGCCACCAAGCAAGAGCATCCTGCGATTCTCAAATCGACATCACGTGCCCAGCTGTCGTTCCGCTGTCTACAATAATATAGGAGAGTTTCTCTTACTGAAAACGTGCGAATTTCATACACATTTGTTCGATCCGGGTGTCGCTTGTCCATTTCGGCAACTTCGCCACAGAGCAAACAATGTGTTTTCCAGGGAAACGGACCACCGTACATGGATCTGAGCTTTTTTGGGATTGGTTCCAGGTTCCTCTTCGCACGTTCAACATCCAAGAGCCTCGTATACGTTTTACGACACGCCGCATGCATAATGACCTTGACCGGTTCATCAGTTTCAGATTTGGCGCGAAAATATTCAGTCATTTTTTCATCTCCACGAGCCTCACTGCAGCGGATCAGCGTTTGTAGGCCTTTCAACCGAATCTTTGCTTCATCATCTGTCACTGAGTTACAACATATTGGACATTCACTCACCAAATCCATGGCAATCACCTCAAATTGTAGAATTACGAGAAATTACAAAAGCATAATATGACACTCTTCCATACCACCCAAAATGAAAAATGACGTCAGGCTAGATCCTGGTCCTCATGACGTCATAGCATACCGTGACGTCACCGTGGAACGTTATTATTCTTAATATTTGACTCAAAATCATGTATATTGATGAATAATGCGTGTTTCAATGACAAATTATGCCTGAAAAATATTGCTAATTTAAATACTGCGTGGTTTTCAAGACGAATTATGACGAATTTTCATTTCGCGAAAAAAACGGTTCGCCATCTTGTTTTTGCGGATGATGACGTCACGGATAGCGAGTGAAACTTATAGAAAGTCATCAAGCATCAGCTGGAGAAGATTCCTTCCAAATTTGATGACCGTATCACTAGTACTTACTGAGATATTGACAATTTAAATACTGAGTGGTTTTAAAGACGAATTATGACGAATTTTCATTTCGCGAAAAAAACGGTTCGCCATCTTGTTTTATCGGATGATGACGTCACGGATAGCGAGTGAAACTTATAGAAAGTCACCAAGCATCAACTGGAGAAGGTTCCTACCAAGTTTGATGACCGTATCACTAGTACTTACTGAGATATTGACAATACTTGTAACTTTACCCCATTTTTTCATGATTGCTGGGGGTCAGATTTTCAAAGTGCTGGAAAAAATTTTCCCCAAGCGGGAAAACGTGGGACTTTTTTTGGGATGATGTCCTAGTCATATACTTTCAGAAAAAATAAGAATCATTTCTTCCCTAATTTTTTCCCCAGTTCACAGCCCATCCATCAGGCTATAACGTCTACTTCCACAAAGGGCTATATCGTAGACAAAATCAAATGTCAATTTCGGTTCGTTTTATTTCGGATATTATTCTATCTTGGTGTAGTTCCTTGGATGTCGGTATTTTCAGACCAGGAGATATGGGAAATGAAATCCCAAACTAGGCCAAAATTATGGCATAATTATGATGAAGGACTCTAAATTTCGATATAAATAAGGTTTAACGTCCTACTGCTCGACACCAACGTGGCTAATGAAACGGGCATATACTATGCAGTGTGCTATGAGAGAATTTTGCGCGAGTCTCTTGCCGGGATCATACTTACAGAGCCATCGTGGTTCTGAATGGGTAACTGTACAACCCCATCAAGTGTGATATAGAAATAATTATGTTTTGACTTTCGTCCAAAATATTCAATTAAAACTTTAAATAAAAGAAAATCTTACTTTATCCATGTCTTTAATGAATCTAGCATCACCTATAGCATAGTTTATAGCGCTGGAAAATTTAAATATTTCTGTCAGTAAATGGTAGGTCTTTACTTCGTTTTCGACACTAAAACTTTCACGTGTGATGTTATAACCTTTAACAAATAAAACGAAAAGAGCATGACACCCTAATTAAAAACAATTGTTATCCTTCGCCCAGTTCATTCGAATGGACACTCCGCTTCATTTGCATCTGAAGAGATATTTAACTAATACTACTATTGACAAGACGATTGATCTTGATCGGTAGTCAAGACTATACACAGTGTTCGGCAAGAATTAGCGTGTGTTTTTTTTTGTTAGGTAATTGTTTGTGGCTTTCTTAGACTACTGTTTGTATCACGTTATAATTTTATTCGAATGGCATCAAAAGAATTATAGTTTGCAAGGAGTAAATGTGGCGTGTCCGTTAAAAAAATACAAAGGTGGCATAAATCCTCTCATCACCACAATGTTTCACACGAAACCTATAGCCTCAATCGCGTTCATAAGCCAATTATACGCCCACACTGAAATGGGCTTTAACAAATATCACATCATAATAAAACGGTGAGGACTAACTTTGACTACCTTTTAGTATTTTCAATATAAAAACCAATAATAAACCACCGCCGTGATCTCCAGCCGTATGTAAAACAAGGCCGTCAGCAATTTCTTCTTTAATGGTTTCAATAATAAGTGGCTGATAATTCTTTAAATCCTCCCGGGTCAATATAGAGCCTATAAAACAAGTGGTAAAATTTTAATTTATATTTCTGAAATATTTGTGCTACATAGATGTTTCACCAACCTATCAAACTTTGTACAAAAGAATGAATATCCTGGGCAAGGTTCCTAGAAAATTCTTAAAGTAAGCACAAAGTCATGCTTCACCTTTTCTTACGTAATAAACTTTATAAAATACCGTCTCTAGAAAATTCTTAAGACCATTCTTACATAAGTACAAATCAAGTATGAGCCTAAGAACATTGTGACTGGTAAACTGAGACTACAATACTCTCTAATGTCAAAAAACTATTTTGGTATGCGAATTATGTCATAAATTGGTCGGCTCCTTTGTTTATCAATGACATAAACTTCCCAGCAAGTCAATTTAGATGCATTTGACATGTCCCCTAACACATTTAAAATGTGCAAACAGGCCGAATAATTCTGGGAGCGCCTGATCTTAAAGTAGCCCGTGTGTATGTGTTGTTTACTAATTGACAAATAAATAATATGGTTTCAAGGTACTAGCGAAATTTTCTATATATATATATAGCACTCTTCTCGAGACTCGAGAATATTATACTATTCAAAAAAAGTAGGGGATATTTGATTTTTAAGTGTTATTAAAGTCACCTAATGAAACTGACGAAGAAACAAATGACAAAATGAAATGAAGTTCACATTCATCGATTTATTCCAAATGATCGTTAGACTAAGTAAGGCACAGACTGACCATTATAAGGGAAAAATGATACCCGGGGTCAAACAGCAAAGTTACCACAGCATCACAACCAAGTCAGTAACGGGTAAATCCTCCTCTGTTTGCCAAACAAGCATTGATCCGACGTGGCATACTCCTAATGAGACGTCTAAGGTCAATTTGGTCCAGATTGTCCCATTCCTGTTGCAACGCAGCAGCAAGTTCTTGGACATTGGCAGGACGTTGTTGACGTTGACGTAACCTCTGACCAAGCATGTCCCAGACATGCTCGATGGGGGAGAGGTCGGGACTCAGTGCTGGCCAAGGTAATGTGGTGATGTTCTGTTGTTGGAGGTAACCTGTAACGATCCTGGCCCTGTGACATCTTGCGTTGTCATCCTGGAAGATGAAACGGCGGCCATGACGTCGTGCGAACGGCACAACATGGACTGCCAAGATGTTGTCCCGGTAGTACTGGCCTGTAACACGCCCTGCAACAACATGTAAAGCCGTTCTTCCAGCAACAGTGATGCCTCCCCACACCATAACAGAACCACCCCCAAATCGATCATGTCTGATGACGTTAACGTCTTGGAAGCGCTCGTTTCGACGACGCCACACCCTCCTACGTCTGTCCAAAAAATCAACAGTGAACCTTGACTCATCTGAAAACATCACATTGCTCCAGCGTCGATTATCCCAGTGTTGACGATCCCTACAACAACGACGTCTTGCCTGAATGTGATGATCTCTCAAACAAGGGATCACGCGAGGACGTCGGGCGCGAAGGTGACCCCTATGCAGTCGATTCCGAATCGTCTGGCCACTCACTCTCACACCAGTGTCTGTTTGAAGACGAGCGCTGATCTGATTTGCTGTGATGACACGATTTCTCAAGGCCAAGGTACGGATAAATCGATCCTGGGCTTGAGTTGTCGCCCTTGGTCGACCTGAGCGTGGTCTGTCCTGTACAGATTGTGTATCACGGTATCTGGACCATAGCCTGCTTATGACAGACTGAGAAACATTCATCGTCCGCGCCACAACCGCCTGTGTTGTGCCGATCTGTAGCATGCCAAGGGCACGTAACCTTTCATTTTGGGTAAGCCGACGCATATCAAAATTTGTTTTCTGGTCACTAAAACAATTAAACTGATGTTTCCACCCTGGAATTCAATGCCACAATGACTGTAACATTCAAAGTCAGAGTCGTGCAAATCTTGGGTTGGACCCCCATGATGATCCCAAGCATCACCTGCATTCCATGCGGTAGCTATTGGGGCGTTTGGGCGTCACATGTAACTGGAAATGTTTCTTCTGTTAGGTTCTATAGTGACTTTTTTCGTAGTCATTTGCATATTTTAGTATTATGCCCCCAAAATCAAATATCCCCTACTTTTTTTGAATAGTATATATATCTAAAGGATTTTCTGTATTTTAATTGTCTCTATGGTATCAAAATATGTGTAGGAAATGCCATCGAATATCTACGGTCAGCCATCTTGTTTAAAGAAGAAACAGATTTAAGGCTGGTTAGCAAGCCGTATACTTGCTTGGGACTTGTGTCTAGATTGACAATGTTTAAGAACAAAGTTGCGTTTCAGTATTTACTTGTTACACATAAGCGCGTGCTTGTGCTTACCCTGAAGTCTACTTACAATCTAAGCACAAGAATGTTCTTAAGAATTTTCTGGGGACACAAAGTAAGGTAAGTTTATTTAAAATCTAAGCACAAGAACGTGTTGAAGAGTTTTCTAGGAATCGGGCCCTGAAATTAAACTGGCACAGGTTGTTATACAGAACAATAACAGGGACAAAAAAACACACATTATTAATCAGAGATATGTTCTCTCGATCGTAATTAGGTCATCTGTTCGACCCTTCAGACGTATGTATATGTTGCTGATACATAGATATATTGCCAGTGTATTATTATGTGTTTAGGATCACACCTGTTAAGAAAATACCTTCAATTAATTAACACTGAAATGCAGAACTGATCAATACTTTCATGTTAATATACAATATTGAAATACCTTCTTTCTGTAAATCTGATATCAGTAATTTAGCCCCGTTACCACTATATAAATAATCAGCTCCGTGTTTAGCTATTTTTCTTAACGTTTGTAGATATGTCAATCGATGGATTACTTCCCCTTCTTGTCTAACTTCACCATTTTCATGACAGAATATATTTCTGAAACATCGAGGATTTCATCTTAAAGGGCCAATCCCGATAATATTTTGGAGAATAAAACTGCTTATGTTTGTGTTAAAATAGTTTAAAATACTCTACCTTAGGGCCGAGCAACTAACCCAGTATATGTGATACGTTTTCAAACAACTTAAACCTGTCTGTCTTCATCTGGAAATGGGGATCTGTATCCCAAGCAGTATGATACGGTGTCTGGATAAAACCAGACTTTTATTTTATAAAAATAATGTGTAGGTGACATTTACCGTTCGCTATCAAGTACAACACGTGGGTCATTCACAGTATAGACCTCTAAAGGAACGGGAATCGATTATCAGGTAACCCAAAGAAAAAATTGACCCGTAATCTTAAAAGGGTTACGTGTCCGGATAAGCAGTTTTGACGTTCACGTCCACACGACTCAATATTTTGAGCTGAATTTTGAGACAAGGTAAATACACCATTAAATTTCATACACTCGGACTTTTTATTTTTGAGACTGTTCAAATCGGGATAGTCCCTTTAAAGGGTGGGTGGTTCGATCAAGAAAGAGTAGCATTTATCGGCACCGAGCGGTTCTGCACAATAATCTTTTTCTGAAGGTGCCCCATTGGAGCCTTCGACTTCATTTCCTGATATATGTTAATCAATTTTCAAACTTACCTCAAATCTGGGAAATATTCCTCTAATGTCTGATTATATTTAGGTAGTGATTGTTTATACTGTATGTACTTTAAACTTTTAACACCATCTTCCGTCATGCCCACGCCCTTCTCTAACATAGCAATACTAGGGGCAAATAACTCTTTCCACGGTAATTTACCGTATCTTTGGTGAGCTTCCCAGTATCCCCTTATCTCGCCAGGTATTCCAATGGACAGAGGACCTACATTTAAAACAAGAGTTTTAAATCGTCCATCGGTTAAACATTGGTTGAAACATCAATTGACGTGGAATCAAAATGGACAAAAATCATTGTAACCTGACAGTCAACATTATTGAATTGTGGTGAAGCAGTGGTTCTCAACCTTTTTTGACAACTTGAAACACATGAAAACATAGCGGCACACCTGGCTAAACATATATGTAAAAATATTTGAATTTTGCAAAATAAAAAAAAAATGGCAAGTCAAACGGCATACAATCGTAGACAGAGGCAAGTCATAGACACATAGAATGACTCGAATTAAATAAAGAAAAGCACAGCTATGAACTTAATCAGTAGACACCAGTGAATACTCAATTATGATCATGTGGTTTTTCGCATTTTCTTAGTGTGCAGTTCAATATTCCGCGACACACTTAGGCAGATCTCGCGGCACACTGGTTGAGAATCACTGTGGTGGAGTAATAAGGAAAACCCTGTTATCGTCACGATTTTGCACGCACTGGTGAATCCCTCTGACAGATATTACAACCAAGAATTTCCCAGATATGCTCAGTTGGATTCGGACCAGGGCTTCCGGCTGGCTGAGGTAGTGTAGCAACCAACAGCTGACAAGGAGAATCGAAAAAGACACGCGCATGGCCTGGTCTAGTGTTGTCGTACATACAGATTGGCCTTGTTAGAAGAGCATGACTACAACCCTATCCAAGACCTCGCTTTTGTATCAGTGGCCATTGGGATTGCCTCTAACTGTTACCGGTTTACTGGCATCCAAGGCAACGCCATATCATGCTAGAGCCGCCGCCGAATGGGACCAGCTCTAGGATGTTCTTCTGTGCAAATGTCATGCTCATGCTCTACCATTCATCAGGCACACAAGAAAGAAACTCTCATCCGACCAATGTATTACTGCTGTTCGTGACGCCATGTTCCAGTGATTACTCGCTTGGCACAATGCTAGTCGTGCAACTTTCTGATCACATGACCAAAGAAGTCCTCTTCTAGGTCTGTTAACGGTACAACCATCCGAAATTCTGTAGGATATGGGTCGTTGATGTAACCAACCCCCTAGCATCCTATGAGTCCCAAGGGAGCTGAATTTTCTTTCAAACGTACTGCGACATCTACCAGAACGCCATTAATCGACTAATAGTCAAGGGATGGTGTCCGAACTGTCACGCAATCTGTCTCATTGACATGACTGCATTCCTCGTGCCAATAACTTGCCACATTCTGGCTGCTGTGAGTTTTCGGGGTCATATTGGGAAATAGAAATGTAATGTAATGACTGATTTCCCAAACATGACTTTCATGAAGTAAGGGATTTACATATTCCTTGAGTCGTATGTCTTTTTAATTTCGCATTTATTTATACGTATTTCCAATTCTTCATCTAGAAACCTTCGATCAAATGACACATTTCTTCTGACGATTACCAAATACAATTTGGTGCGCGAATATTTAAATACACTGCTGCAGTATTATGGAACAATCTTCCTACCCACCTCAAAAAATGCCCCTCCTTATCGACATTCGAAACCTTATTGAAGACCTGCAGTATTCTGGAACAATCTTCCTACCCACCTCAACAAATGCCCCTCCTTATCGACATTCGAAACCTTATTGAAGACATTTATTTAGACGCTGTTTTTAGTTATGTCTTGATGTTGAACTTTTATTGCACAAAACTGAATCACAAACGCTTTGAATACTCTGTGTGGAATATCGTTCTATAAATAACATAATTATTATAACATTATAACCTCTATTCACTAATGTTGTATTTTAGACGATATATTAGCATACAAACCAATAAGGGTTATATCCTAGAACTTGTCATAACGATAAGGGGATACTTGTCGAAACGTCGTGCTTTCAGAATAAAAACTAGTGATTGTATCCCATAAAAACTGTGTTCTGTTATTGTCATAAAGTGTCCAACTAGAAGCCTACCATAATTCCAAGATATATACCACGATTCCAAGAAGTAAAGAAGCATTCTAATTTATGTAAATAAATTCCGTATTTTACTAACTCACCTACGGAAAGAAACTTCGATCTTACTGTATCATGGGTGCCTTTAGATGGGGCAACGACCTTACCATTTATTGCTACAGTTTTGTTTTCTTTCGGATCATAAATAACCATTGTAGCACCTGAAAAATATATATACAGTTGTGAAGCCTTGAGTTTTTATCCAATGTAATCTTGTGGAGGTTACCTGCATTTTCCGGATTCCTCCAGCGACAGAGCCCAGTGTTTGGCACAAGATTTACCGTACACAGGCCCAGCTCCGTTAATAGGGACATTTAGGTCCTCAGAAAATCCATGCAGAATACCATATTTCCGGACAACTTTGCCGCGAAATATGTCCCAAAAGTTATTCCCGTTTCTTATCTGCTGTCTCCACAATTCTTACACTTGTCATTTTCCCGGTTGGTGTAGAACAGTAGGAAATTAAACCCCATTTCATTTATTATATACAATACATTGTCAAGATGATATCTGAAATTTAGTTTACACAACTTGACACAGATTTAACAAGGTGTGAAATACCAAAACTGTTTTACCTCCTCCAATTCCTGAACTATGGGGATGGGTATTATGACTGCAGAGTAACGTGGCGATAGCCGAATCTACAGCAGATCCATGGCGCAGTAATATGTCCCTGTAAAAGAGAGAGGGGGGGGGGGTAATTGTATAATAGAATATATTATTAATATATAAATGAGTCAATCAATATGAACCGTTAAGTATCGAGCAGCATTTTCCGACATTTACTTCCTGTGATTTGCAACGAAGCTGTCGCGACTCTGGCTTTCTACATATCGGTTAGAATAAAACAACTCCGGTGACATGGACACGCCAACAAAAGTTAAAATCTCTTAGTTTTGCTCGACTTACTCACCAGCCCTACATAGAATTCTAGACCATACACAGTAAGAGTAGTCTTACAAACAATATTAATCTAAATATTGTTAAATCCTTCAATCCTAACGTAGGTTAATATTGGTTTTCACTTTTTTCTGTATGGATAAACATATCTACCATATGTTATATTCATACACAGTTGATTTTCTTCCGGACGAATTATTATATAGATATCAAACTTGAGGCATGCATTTGTACTAACCTGCCTATTTGAGAGCATTCGGGACTGTCGGCGGCCACAGCACCAGTTGTGACTAATCTCCCTTTGGTAACCGAATTCCCAAGGGCCAGATTACTCGATACGCCAATAAAACGAAGTATAGATCCAATTCCAATGTAGTTAGCTCCTATAATCATCATCACCAGGAAAACAACCACCAAACATCGCTTCTTATAACAAGATTTCTTGAATTGGTTCTCCTTGTCTGATTCCACTTCCATATCCCCAACATGACTGGAAACAATTTTAGAGGGCATCATGGTTTTCAATTAGAACGTAAATCATTAAATGTACGGAACAGATCTTTTGAAAAAAAATTCGTTTAATAATTTATTATCGAATAATCTATCTGAGTACTGTTATAGTTGAAGTCCGACTATTCACCCTCTTGTAGCAGGATATCTAATACTTCGTTACAATTGTAATACTGCCCAGTCATCCGCTAGTCTAGGTCTCGTCGATGGTTTAATTTAAATCAGTGGTTTCAGATTCATGTTAGTTCAATCCAAACGGATATTTCTGACTCATCCGCTAGTCTAGGTCTCGTCGATGGTTTAATTTAAATCAGTGGTTTCAGATTCATGTTAGTTCAATCCAAACGGATATTTCTGACAACTAGACCGGAGGGTCTGACAAGGACAGCTGTCTAGTCGTTCGGATTTAACGAAAAACCGAGGTCCCCTGTACACATTGGCGTGCACGTAAAAGATCCCTTGACAGTTGGAATTCGATATAAGGGTAGGCCGTAGTGCCGCTGTCCGGGCAAAATTTCCTTCATAACAGACTGTATGGCGTATGCCCGTTTTCATTAGCCTAGTTCGGAGTAGGACGTTAAACCCCATTTCATTTCATTTCTGACAACTAGACAATTTCATCATCGGACAATTATAATGTATTGTTATCCACAATCCACACAGAGTTTTGGGTCAAGGTAATCAATGTCTTGAACTGAATTATAGGACCGTGTTACCGGTGATCCCGAGTATTAGGGTCAGATGTCAGTAATTAAGCTGTTTTTATTATTAAAGGAAGAACTTCCCACTAAAATCATATTCTAATATGTTGGAGCAAGCTTCGGCTCTCCTGGGTTTTGTCTTACGATATCATTAAATTTATATGAAAGAACTAAGGTATGTCTATTTTAAAAAAAAAATTACTGTATGCTTATTCGGGCAGGTAAATAAAAATTCCTGCCTACATTGCCTAGTTATCAGTAATATAGAAATCACTTTTTAATTAATTTATTACCAATTTTCTATTTTGTCTGTATTTCAGGGGTTTGTCAGTGTGAAAATTTTGTGATTGATTACGAATGGTATACATTTATACGCGGAAAGCTGCGTCCAAAGGAAACGGGGTTTACTCTCATTCGACCACACTTTTAGATCGATATGCAGATTCAAGGAAATTTCAGATTTGTACTACATGTACTATACAATTATTTAAAGAAATATTTATTTGCAGACTTCGTAATTGGCAATAACCACAAAGAAAAAAGAGCTTTCCCTGCAAGATACACCCACATTTTCCAAAAGATGGGCAGAGAAGAAGCTAAAAAGCGATTTTTTATTGCAAGTTTCATCAAAATCGGATAAAAAAAATTGTGACCTCTAGAGGTTCCTCTCTAGCTTAAACCGTCACTTTTCTTACCACCAGCGGCCAATAAACATGTTCCAAAAATAGCCATTTTTTTACGTTATGCTGTCTCACTTCAATAAATTGTATTTTGTAACTCAAATTAATATATTTTCTGTGACCTTTTGGAAAGGATATAAATGCATGCATATAGACCATTTCCTATAACAATTTTCGTAGTTAAATTATTCAATTAGACAATGTATTGAGTTATGACTAACTTTAAAAAAAACCCATTTGTTTCTGTCAAATTTGCATGAAATATGTGATCTTCAGTAATATTATACTTTTCAGTTTGTAATTTCAAAATCTAAAATATTTTTCATTTATTTGAATTTACAGTGACCCATACTTAAAATGCTTCACAAAAGTGTATTTGTAACAGCTGCTGAAGCGAAAAAGGTATAAATTTTAATGACCAAAATATTGAAATACTGATACTTAGAATTGAAATACTGATACTTAGAATTGCAAGGCATTGTTTTTCTTTTCGCCCTGATGTTGACACTTTTGTCACAAATGATGTGTTTTAGCCGTTGGGGAGGTTCAATTTAATAACTTAAGTAAAGTTGCATTCTCTCTACCAACGATGTCAGTCCAAGAAATTACGACATTCGTCTGATCACTTTGGGCAATTGTCGTTTTCTTATGATTCGGGGAAGACCTGTTTAAGGTCAATGAATTATAGAAGAATAAAAAAAAACAATACAAGGGGGCGCATCCATTATTTTCATTTGTCGCAAGCAAAGTAATAGACTAATGAAAACAGACACAAAGTACTCAATGCCATTGTTTTACGAATATTGGTAACACGCCGACTATCTGTTATGTGGGTATAATGGATTCAAATGAAGGCAGACTGCAAATTTAGAATTTATGAGTGGAATTTTATACTGAAAACGAACCTGTTTTTCATATCATCCTTGTGATTTGCCTCACCTAGTCGTCGTCTAAAAACTCCAAACTCCATTCTTCGTCTGACCCCAGCACATCTAAGAAGAAAAGTCAACACACTTTGCGAATAAACTAACATTAAATTGGAAGGGACACTATTATTTAAGTCCATATCTAAATCGGTTTTATCTGAGCACCAGGTTAATCAAAGATAAACCAACATTTAGTTTCGTTTAGCTATGGCTTGTAAAAGTTTCAAAGGGATTTTCAACAAGTGCTATACCTATCATTATTCGGTTACCAATGACATACATTTTAATTATAATCATACCAACAAAAGGAGATCATACTTCCTCTGTGAAGAGGCAGTGTGCAAAATTTAGAGAAACAACTGTGCTGTTCATTCTATTTATAACAATTCAGAAATAGATAATGAAAATGAATATATTGAAAACTTCAGTCAAATTGCTTTTTTCTAAGGGAGGTTATGGGTAACTTCTTTATTGGGTTTTAGACAGTGAACTCAATTAAAATTTGTAGTAAAACTGTATTACTTTTAATCTTAGTAAGAATTTCAATATAAGACAACTGTGTATTGTCTGGATATGGTCGGGTCTTTTATCTTCAGTGTCCGTGAGTGACCGCATGCATTTTCGGCTTGGCCAACTTAATGCCGTTTAACGCTGTACTTAAAAAAGTATACAGTAAAGATTGTATATTTTGATTTAATTTACATATTCTGTTCTCTGATGCCAATAACATACAGATTTAATAAAACTATACAAACAAATACACCGTTTCCTGAGCCTTTCATATATACAATGATATATTAAAAACTGTATACGATTATAGTGTAAAACTTACCCGAAGATGATAAACACTTTGTGTATAGAATTACTTATCAGACGCACCAGCAACCTCCTCATAACAAAAAACACATCAACACCTATATCCTATTCTGTATTTTTTCTAGTTTGATCCCGATTTTGATATCTCTTGTTGATTAAATATTCACTTGGTGTACATGTACACACAGTTCTCGTGCAGAAATATTATAAGGTTCAAATCAGGGTTTTAAATTGGTTAAGATTATATCCCAGAAAATCTAATTTCTAGAGAAAAGCACAAATTCTTATTACATTTAAGTCACTGGTTCGTGGAGAAAGAGTTTGAGTTATAGTATAGCTATTTTATTGTACAGTGGTTCAATTAATTTACATTGATTAAAACCAAACTGTAATAAAAATTAATGACGCACCAACTGTTTATCGATAGAATGAATATACGAAATTTATCATATCTTTGCATCATTAAAATGGGTTCGTCCGTCTGTGTGTCTGTCCGTCTGTCTGTCCTTCCTTCACACTTTTTGGGACACAATAACTCTCTTTCTAATTGAGCTACAATGTTCAAACTTGGTGCAGGTGTTTATTAGGTCAATGCCTTGATGGGGTTCGAAGATGAGCATTTTCGGCTTCGGGTAAGCAGAGATAAGCAATTTGATTGGTTGATACTTTGTGACACGATAACTTTAGTTCTAATTAAGTGAGAGTGATGAAACTTGGTGTATAGTTCCATTACACCAGTACCTTGACTAAGTTCGATAATGGGCATTTTCTGCTCAGGGTAAGCAGAGCGATAAGCAATTTGATTGGTCGATACCTTGGAACACAATAACCCTCCTTCTAATTGAGCTAGAAACTTCAAACTTGGTGTAGGTGTTTATTAGGTCAATGCCTTGATGGAGTTCGAAGATGAGCATTTGCGGATCAGGGTAAACAGAGATAAGCAATTTGATTGGTTGATGCTTTTGGACACGATAACATTAGTTCTAATTAAGTGAGAGTGCTGAAACTTGGTGTATAGTTTCATTACATCAATGCCTTGACTAAGTTTGATAATGAGCACTTTCTGCTCAGAATAAGCAGAGCCATAAGCAATTTGATTGGTCGAGACTTTGGAACACAATATAACCCACATTTTAATTGAGTTAGAATGTTCACACTTGACAAAGGTGTCTATTAGGTGAATACCTTGATGGAGTTCGACGATGAGAATTTTCGGCTTCGGGTAAGCAGAGATAAGCAATTTGATTTGTTGATATACATGAGACACAACTTTAGTTCTAATTAAGTCAGAGTGAGGACACTTTGTGTATTGCCTTATTACATCAATACCTTGACTAAGTTCGATTATGAATATTTCCTGCTGAGGGTAAGCAGAGCGATAAGAAATTTGATTGGTCGAGACTTTGGAACACAAGAACTCTCCTTCTAATTGAGTTAGAATGGTTAAACTTGGTGCAGGCGTTCATTAGGTGAATGCCTTGATGGAGTTCTATGATGAATATTGTCTGCTTACGGTAAGCAGAAATAAGCAATCTGATTGGCTGATGCTTTGGTTATATTGAAGTGAGAGCGATGGAACTCCGAAAATAGATTCATTATATCAATACCTTGACTAATTTCGATGGTGAGAATTTTCTGCTTAGGCTAATGGGCGATAAGCAATTTGATTGGTCAAGACTTTTGAACATAACAACTCTGCTTTTAATTGAGGTAGAATGTTTAGACTTGATGTAGATGTTCATTAGGTGAATGTCTTGACTGAGTTCAATTATTAACATTTCGAGCTGAAGCAAAGCAGAGCTAATCAATTTCATTGGTCAATGCTTTGGGACAAGATAATCTTGATTCTATCTGATAGAGAGTGATGAAACTTAGTGTATAGTTTGATTGATTGATACTTTTGAAAAAAATAATGTGCGATTAATGTGTGTCATCTATTTATTTTGGGAATTCGGCGGGAGACATCAGCCTCACTGTTGGCTTGTTGAACTGATAATCTGGTTGAATAATTTCGCTGCGAAATTAATTTAAAAAACAAATCAAAAAAACTGTAAGGTCTCGATACGCCATTTTGAGCAATAGTGATCACTTGCAAACTATAATAATGTGAAAGTTGAATCTCTAATAGGAATACCAGTCCAATAATGGTTCAATTCCGTTTAATATTTATAAAGGTATGTAAAATTGACATTTTGTCGATCTATGCTGCTTACTATAAACTAAGCCCACCGCCATTTTGTTGTCCAAGAAATTTTAATGATAGGTCTATTTTAAATGCGATAGAACCCAATCCGGGGCTTAAATCCGGCGTTGGTATTTTGATCTTGGTTTATTAATTAAATGTTAACTAATCAACCGGAGTAATTATTCCCATGGATGAAGTCGTGAGAAATAATTTGACATTTTTGAGAAAAATGCCAATGGTGCATCGGGACTTTAATGTTTTCAGTTGATGGTGTGCACGTTTTCTATTTGGGAAATCGCATTTTTATATATCGGATTCAAACCAATGTCCAAGCTCTAGTTAAAGTTTTAGTGGTGAATGAGGGCCATGTAGATGTTAATATTGTTTCTGGCTTTTCCCGACTTACGGAAATGACAACAAATTTGATTATGAATTCTACAATATGCCGGTATTCTAGCGAAACACAACTTCAACTTCTTATAATGTAATGTGATGGAAGATGATGTGCTAATGATACAATGTCATTGATGACTTTTTTTTAAATAGGCATAGACCTGATAAAAAAAACCTTTAAATATTAATTACATTGTTTGTTACGAACTGTTGTATTGGCTACAGATTTTATCTTACTAGATATGAATTTAATTGTCTACAGCTCAGGAAAGCAAAATAAAAAACCCTTAGATATGCAAATAGTAAAATATTGATGAGACATGTAATTCTATCTAACTTTAAAAAGCAGTGTATATTTATCTTTGTAAACAGATGTTGACAGTAATAAAATGTTTTCGCATTAATGATAACACAATAAATGGTCAATTTGAATATTTGTTTCCCAGTTTGTCGTCGTTTTTATTTAAATAAAAATTGTGCTCCCGAGTAGGCCATTTGTCGCATATTAAGCGGTGGACACATTAGCCGAATGATTCGGCCGAATCAATCGGCGTCGAAATTCGCCTAGTGTGTCCACTGTCATTCGGCGGAATGATTCGCCTGAATCAAACAGGATTGATATATTCGGCCGAATTATATTCGCCTGGTGTGTCCGCTTCGCCGAAGCATTCGGCCGAATGTAGAATTCATTAGCCAATCACCACTCATATAGAGAAGTCACGAGATAGTTTGAAGACATAGACGCCGCCATATTTAATCATGTGATATGAAAGGTGAATTATTTTCGCCTGGTGTGTCCGCTTCGCCCAAGCATTCGGCCGAATGTAGAATTCATTAGCCAATCAACACTCATATAGAGAAGTCACGAGATAGTTTGAAGACATAGACGCCGCCATGTTTAATCATGTGACATGAAAGGTAATGCAATCGACTGGTGAATCGGGCGAAGCATTCGGCTAGTGTGTCCACCAATTCGGCCGAATAATTCGGCAAATGTGTCCACTGCTTTACAGATCCACCGAGTGTTCGAAATCGAAAATAAAACTGTCAGGGCAAAATTTTGGTTAAAGTATGTCAACAATCAGCTTCTGGACGCGACAGAGACTACAGTTTTTTATGCGCCCACACTTTCATGTGGACTATATTGTAGTCACCTCTGTCCGTCCATTCACATTTTGTTTCTGGACACTCAACAGGTCACAGTTTTATCCGATTTATATCCCAAAGATCTTGATTCATTTCGATATTGGCATGCAGTGGACCGTAAATTCATGGATTCTCTTGTGAACACTCTGCAGGTCAAATTTTTATACGAAACATATGCGCTTATATCTCGACGATCTCGGTTGCTTTCGATATCCGTGCATATCGGACCGTAACTTTCTCGATTATGGCCCGTGCTTTCATGAAAAAATGTTAGCTTGTGGGCCCTCTGGAGGTCACATTTTTTCCGATTTTTAAAACCATTCAAATATATACACGTGACACCATAATGACGGTTGAGTTCGAATTTCGTGAAAATCGGACCGAAACTGCCCTACAAAATGACTGTTCACCATACGCAAATAGTGTAAAAGTATGTAAAACCAAGGTTGTGATCCTTCTAGAGATCACAATTTTTATCCGATTTTGATGAAATTTAAAAAAAATATATTTATATTCCAAAGACCTTGTTCCTGTCAATATTGGCGCATATCGGAATACAGCTTCCTGGATTATGTCTCCTGATTGTACGAAAACTCACGTTTTTGGCTTGGACACCCTCTAGAGGTCACAATTTGTATTTGATTTTATAAACAATTCAGCGATACACCATAATCGAGTTCAAATTTCGTGAAAATTGGACCGAGACTGTTTGACAAAAGAACCGCTCCACTTTACGTAAATTGTATAAGCATACATATATAATACCGAGAGTGCAGGCCGTCTAGAGGTCACAATTCATATCCTATTTATATGCAACTTAAAATATTTGTTTATATCCTAAAGATCTCGGTTCCTGGATTATGGCGCCTGATTGTGCGAAAAACCGCTTTTTTGTCCCCACCTTCCGAAGAAAGCAGCTTAGGGGACTATTAAAATGGGTTCGTCTGTCTGTCCGTCACAATTTTTGGGACACAATAACTCTCCTCGTAATTGAGCTAGAATCTTCAAACTTGGTGTAGGTGTTTATTGGCTCAATGCGTTGATGGAGTTCGAAGATGAGCATTTTCTGCTCAGGGTAAGCAGAGATAAGCAATTTGATTGGTTGATGCTTTTGGACACGATAACTTTAGTTCTAATTAAGTGAGAGTGATGAAACTTGGTGTATAGTTTCATTACATCAATACCTTGACTAAGTTTGATAATCAGCATTTTCTGTCCGGGGGTAAGCAGAGCGATAAGCAATTTGATTGGCCGAGACTTTGGAACACAATAACTCTCCTAATTGAGCTAGAATGTTCAAACTTGGTGTAGTTGTTTATTAGGTCATTGCCATGATGAAGTCCGAGGATGAGCATTTTCTGCTAAGTAAGCAGAGATAAGCAATTTGATTGGTTGATGCTTTGGGACACGATAACTTTAGTTCTAATTAAGTGAGAGTAATGAAAATTGGTGTATAGTTTCATTACATCAATACCTTGAATACGTTCGATAATTGGCCGAGACGTTAGAACACAATAACTCTCATGGTGTAGAATGTTCAAAGGCGAATGCCTTGGTGGAGTTCGATGATG